ATAATAATACTAAGCTAGAGAAAACATGAAAAAAATTGCATAATATAACCAATTAGTTGATAATATAAAACTTATTGTTGATAATGGTTTTGGTAAAATGTTTGTTATCTATTGATAACTCAACTCGCTGTTATAAACCAGCAAAATATCAAATCAGTGACTTCATTAGCATATTGAAATCTGAACTGTGAATCTAAAGAAAATAGTTGAATGAAATATTTTCAGGTCTGGAATAGAGAATTAATTTGTTTATTCCTACTCGAAGATTCTGATAAAATATGGGTCGACAACCCTCCGATAAGCACACGTTTAAGAACAAGATATTTAACATATAATTGACAGCCGAAATTATTCATGAAACTTTTTCTTTTAATTGTACAATATTATAAAAATGAACAACCTTTCTTACTCCATGAACATTTCTCGTGAAAATTTAGACGTCAGATTGTTTTTATTTTAAGATTTTGAGAATGTATTTATATTTTGTTTCTTTCTTCATTATAGAACTCGGGATATTATACCAATAATAAAGAAAATGACAGTACCAGAAAAAGTGGATATTACTCCCGAAGAAATGGAAAGTGTTGAGAAAGTAAGAAAATCTTGTGACATTATTTTTCTATGGTAGTTTGGGTTTTATTTTCAAATAAAAAATTATAAGTGGCTTTTTAAGCAGTTAATATGGATTTTCAAAGCTCTTTCGCCATTGAAAATAAAAAAGCAACAGTTTAAGTGTCTCACACTTGAAACAAAGCTATATTTTGCAATTATATATCTCTTCTTACCTTGAAAAATTATCTGGGCAATTAACAACGGACAATTAACTTTATTTTAAAAATTAAAAAGCTTTTTAAAAAATCGCCAATTTGTAGACATTTGTCTACCTATATGAAAATTAACAAAATCACTGTTTTTCTCAGTTTGTGAAAATTATACGAGTCTAGATAATGCAGCACTGAAGTAAGTTTCTAAATATTAAAAAATTAGACTACAAACACTTTTCATTTCAACAAAACTGTGGCTTTTCTATTTATTGAGGTTTTTAACCATTTTCAGAATAAGAATTTTCAGAATTTCATGCAACTACAGAGCTTTCAAAAAACAGCCTTAATAAGCTTGTTCTATACCCACATTCAAGTTTGTGCACATAGTCACGGCACTCGATTTTACAATCCAAATTTTTGAAAAAAATGTGTTTAATTTTTTATATTATCAAAATTTCACTATTTTTTCATACTACTATTTTTTCACTTTCAATAAAAAATAAAAAAGTTTTAAAAAAGTTTAGGGTGATTTAGCCCAGTAATGTGTCTTTCCGCAATGAGTTTGGTAAAGTTAAAAAAAATATGTAGTTTTATAATGTGTGAAAAATTTACTAAATGCTGTAAAATTTGGTAATTTCATCATGATGCCTTACATCAGTGGTTCCGTGGTAGAGTTTAAGAGGTTTTACGAGTTAGTATCTACTTTTTATACCTAGCGATAAATTTTGAAGCCTCTGATTATACTTAAATTCAACGTATAATTCTTACATTTTCTAATTTTTCGATTGTATTTATGAAATTATTTCACGTAAAATACCTATGGAATAGAAATGAATGGCTTACTAAACTGCGAAAACCATATATTTTGATTTTATTCACCAGAATTATGAAGTTTTTTTGCCAAAATTGTCATTGCGACACAGAACAGTAATTTTACCAGAATTATTGGCCGAACAGAAATAATTTGTTAACAAAGAATAGGGCAAGTGACATTTCTGGTCCCTTTCTTATGAGTAATAAGTGAAAAGCAAATAATTAAATATAATAATAATAAGTGAAATAATAGCAAAGTGTAAAGCAAATTTAATAAAGAAATGACAAAATTTAACTGTTGAAATCTATTTCAGATGCGAGCACGATTTAAAAATGATTTGCCTCAAGCAATGTATGAAGATACAAATTTATTTTTGAGATTTCTAAAGGGTAAGTGAACTTTTTTTAATTATTATATTAAAATAATTTAAACATCATATTCATAGATTAATAATAAATAATGAAAATAAGTTTCTTTGCAACATAAAAAAAATTTTAATGTATATATGTAACTAATTTAATTTTTATATTTCTATGAAATAATAATGAAAAAAGCTTTTTTTAATTATTTTAAATTTTCTATTTTTTGTTATAATTACTATTTAAAAAATGTGTATTTACTATCTTTATTTGTAAACTGCTTTAGATATTTTTCAGTTAGATATTTAAATAGCACAAATAACTAAAAAAATAATTTATGTAAATAACTTCTGCTACAAAAAAAATATTTAATTTTTAGATTTCTTTAGAATAACAATAATAAAGAACATTTTAATTTTCTGTAATCTATTTATAGCAATTACTATTTAAAAATTGCCGATTTGATTATTTATAAAATGTTTTGAACATTTTTCTGCGAGAGATTTAAATGAAGAAAAAACTTTTCTGATAAATTATGGAAACAACCTTAATACTCTATATACTAATTTTTTTATGTGGCACCATAAACTCGGATATTTTTATCTAATGTCAATACTATTATTAATTATTCTTTTAAGTTGCCTCAGGAAATAATTTAAGGAGCGTTGAATAGTTAATTATACGTTAAGTATTTATTTAGAATAATTGTGTATTCTTATAGAAATAAAAACTTTGCTAAGTAATTATTTAGATTTATTTTTGATACTTTATAAAATGGCTGTTGGAGTTTTGAACATATACGTTGCTATTTAGGCCTCATACTGTCATACCAATTACTAATGACGGAGCTTGACTGTTTTTTGAGCAACATGATATATATGTTGTACGATACTCTTAAGGCTCGAGAGGTGCGTGAGGCAGTATTACAGAACGTAATGGAGCATCGGGATAAGTTTTCTATTTCATCGCATGACAGAGATGAAAAAATTTTTAATACTTCTGCGGCTACTATTCTGAAATGACACGAACTCATACTTTGGTGTGTGTGATTTAATAGTTGTCAGACAGATTTTCAATATTTTGAACAAACACATCCTGAAAATAGTAAATCAAAGTATTTCTGCACGGTCAACAGCTAGACCAGAGTTTTCCAACTGGCCCCGCGTGCCGCATCCGGCTCACGAATCCTTTTTTTGTGGCCCGCGAACTAAAATATATTAGTTTTCATTTTTTTGCGGACAATTTTCGCAAAAAATCTATAAGGGTTTAAAATACTTTTCTCGTTTTTTAAAAAAAAAAAAAAAAAAAAAAAAAAAAAAAAACTACTACTTTTTTTCGTTTCTGTGAAATTTCCCATACCAACGGTGCAAAAAAATTTATTTTTCAGGTTTTGCATCCAAGAAAATATTTATTCAAATACAAAGATAATCGTGTATGTTGCTCTTTTTTTTTCTTGCATTTTGTGAATAAAATTTAGCATGTGCGTATCAGAAATTTTCTCGAAAAGTTAATTCTCCGATTTAACTTTTTGAAACCACTCATTTTGGACGAAATTATTTACATTTGTAAATTTTAGAATTAATTGAGTTGTTACGATTTGAAGGGAGGTTAAGGAATTAGAATTTCAAAATGTATTTGCGCTGGGCATTCGGCTTGGTTAGCATTAAAGTTTATTTGCTATACAAGATAATTTTGAAAGGTGACCTAGCTGGTCGTGTGAAGCTGCTAGTACATAATAAAATTAATTTTCTTTATAATAAGATTGAAGTGAAAGCTACGCATGCTAAAAGAAAGCCGTTTAATTTTCATATTTCTTTGGAATAACTACGACACGAGGCATCTTTAACTTTTTTATTGCTATCTGAAAATAGTTTTTTGTTGTTTCTTTTAGTAAACTATATTTACCGTTTTTCAGCGAGAGACTTCAACCTCAGCCAGTCTGAAATCATGCTCAGAAAAGTAAGTTGCCTTAATTTGTATATGTTACTGAACGGAATAACTCTGGGAGAGATTCTGCACTGAAGAAAGATACTGAAATTCCTCTACCATTGTAGTTTTGATATTTTCTAACCGATTATAAATACTTGGTCGCTGTATGAAAGACGTGAATAACACCGTGGAGCATATTTTTTAAGAGATCTCAGATTTCAAGTCTGCAATCAGCTTCCCTTTCTATGCTACAGATTTTTTTAAATGGCAGTTTTAGTCTATATTTGTCGAAATGTAAACATCAATATAAAATACACTTATGAAACTAGATACTGATTTTTAGTGTTTTATATAATAAAACTATAATTTACTTTTATTAAATATTTCGTAGATCATTAAATTGCTTAAGGTATCTGCCTGCCTTAAAATGACCGATTTCATCAAATAATTCGAATTTCTGTTTTTTGCATTTTTGAAAAGAATGAACTCTTAGGATTCTAAAAATGCTTTGTTTTTAAAATTTCGATAATTAGAAGCAAAGTTATAGCTGATTTTGAAACCGGAAGTGAGATTCCGAAACACCGGAAGTGCACTGAAAACGTCAAAANCTTAGTTGCTAAGTAATTATTTAGATTTATTTTTGATACTTTATAAAATGGCCGTTGAAATTTTGAACATATACGGTGCTATTTAGGACTCATACTGTCATACCAATTACTAATGACGGAGCTTGACTGTTTTTGATCAACATGATATATATGTTATACAAGGCTCGAGAGGTGCGTGAGGCAGTATTACAGAACGTAATGGAGCATCGGGATAAGTTTTCTATTTCATCTCGTGACAGAGATGAAAAAATTTTTAATGCTTCTGCTGCTTACTATTCTGAAATGACACGAACTCATACTTTGGTTTGTGTGATTTAATAGTTGTCTGACAGATTTTAAATAATTACTAAGATTGAATATTTTGAGCAAACATGTCCTGAAAATAATAAAAATTGAAGTCAAAGTATTTCTGCACGGTGAAAAAAATCTGGTTAGTATATTGTTTAAAATTAATTAAGTTGTTATGATTTGAGGGGAGGTTAAGGAATTGGAATTTCAAAATGCATTTGCACTGGGCATTCGGTTTGGTTAGCATTAAAGTTTATTTGCTATACAAGATAATTTTGAAAGGTGACCTAGCTGGTCGTTAGAAGCTGGTAGTACATAATAAAAGTAATTTTCTTTATTATAAGAAAGAAGTAAAAGCTACGCATGTTAAAAGAAAGCCGTTTAATTTTCATATTTCTTTGGAATAACAACGACACGAGGTATCTTTAATTCCTTTATTGCTATCTGAAAATAGTTTTTTGTTGTTTCTATTAGTAAACAATATTTACCGTTTTTCAGCGAGAGACTTTAACCTCAGTCAGTCTGAAATCATGCTCAGAAAAGTAAGTTGCCTTAATTTGTGTATGTTACTGAACGGAATAACTCTGGGAGAGATTCTGCACTGAAGAAAGATGCTGAAATTCCTCTACCATTGTAGTTTCGATATTTTCTAACCGATTATAAATACTTGGTCGCTGCATAAAAGACGTGAATAACGCAGTGGAGCATTTTATTCCTGTTGAGTGATATTTCTTAACAGATCTCAGATTTCAAGTTTGAAATCATCTTCTCTTTCTAAGCTACAGATTTTTTTAAATGTCAGTTTTAGTCTATTTTTATCGAAATGTAAACATCAATATAAAATACACTTATGTAGCTAAATACTTATTTTTAGTAATTTATGTAATAAAAATATAATTTATTTTTATTAAATATTTCGTAGGCCATTAAATTGTTTAAATATGAGTTTTTACATGCAGGAATAAATTTTAAATTGATCGTCATAATAATGCTACATATCACAAGAAAGTATTAAACTTAGAATTTACATCAAAAGCAATGGTGACCATTATTAATTACTTGATTACATTTTAAGCGCATAACTTAACACAGCACATTAGTATTGAAGAAAGTGCGGCATCTTTCCTGGAATTACTCCGTATTTGTTTCGTAGCTATTCGTATATTTATTTTTTAATAATGATATTTAGTAGGTACTTTATGATTCTTTATACCTAATTATTTCTTGCATCACTTAAATATATAAAAGAATCGCGATAACGTTTGGGTTAAGACACTGAGTTGTTATTTTGACGAACCAGGTACTTACAGGTAAGAAGTACCGTCACTGATGGTGCCGTTACTTTTTACCATTTTTTATCAAACATGCTATGGAACAAAAAAAATCTGATATACCGCAGTTTTGACTGCAATAATTACCCTAAAATCACTGAATCATTCTAATTAGCAAAATATTATTATAAAAATTACGGTTTTAGATTTTATGGACGATGCACTCTAAGTGCCAGCATTTTATATCGTGATTTGATTCAGGATTTTTAGACTGTGTGGAAAGTGAAGGAGGACAACACATCGCCGCCTTCCCTTCACATTTCGGCTTTGGTCTAGAAATCGTGAAGACTTAACTTCCATGACACCCAACCCCTGGATGACCCCGCACCTTCTGGACTAGCTGTTGCGGGAGTACATTACTTCATGTTGGTATATAAGTTTTGAAAACACCTATCATCCAGCAACTAATCACTATATTTTAATAGTTCGATTATGATTTGAATATTGATAAAAATCACTCTTATTTGCATTGATGGTACAAAAAATAATTTTAAATTTTGGTTCTAACGCTTACAATTCTCTTTCTTTTTTTTTATTAATGCCAACATGTATTCATAAATCATGCCTTAATGTAAATCTTAAACTCAATGGAGTATTAAAAATTTATTTATTATATACCAAGCAATTCCGTCACTAGTCATATAGTTTTAAGCATTGGTTTCTTATAATCTAATTAACTATAACAGACATCTTTAATTTGCAATGCTTCTGCTAAAAATAATTTTAAACAATTCAAGCTCTTTTAAATGTTTCTAATCTTTCCTATAACTACGGACACTCAGAAATTATAGTTTCCAAACAAATTAAAATAGGAGCTTTCCTGATGTTGTACCAAATGTTAGTTCCTTCATAATTTGACGTTGATTATGGTGATTAGAAACAAACCGTGAAGGATTTTCCCCAAGTAAACGTCAAAAAAAAAAAAATTTAAATGAAACGCTTTTCAACAAGTCGTATTCTTTAACATACAGTGACAGTTAATTTATATACAAAAATAAAACGAGGTTCATTCATTTATATTCATTACATTAGAGTTGTATGACCGATTTCAATCTGGGTTTTCGTGCTTTTTATAGTATTTGATTGTCAGTTTCTTTGAATGATCCATTTGAGAAAGTAAAGGGAAAAGTTCAATTTAGTTATTATTTTTCTTAGCTTTCCTTTTACTTAATTACGACCAAAATGACAGCTAAATTGCTTCAAATTATAATTTTAAATAATATTTTTGTAATTATATTATTTTTCTTAACGCGAAAAGTGTGGACATGCGTATTAAAATAATTTTCTAAACATGTTTCGATTGACAAGAATTTAAGTGAATCAATTTCTAATTCATTATTTTTTAGAACAGTATTTATTTTTTAAATTGTGTTTCAAAAAAAACTTTTAATATTCTTTGGAAAGAGGAGACGTAATTTAACTGTCGCCATATAGTAATGACCCTTTATTGATAAATGACCCTTTATAGTACAGTGGGCAAACAATAAACGAACGACACTGAATAACTTTTAATCTAAAGATCGGATCTCGATGTTCTAGGACTCCATCTTAAAGGTTCGAGGAGGTAGTCGTAAATATGCTAATTAAGTAGCGCAGACGATATTTTAAGTTAGGAAACCAGGCACAAAAACCTATTTTTTCTGAATAAACATACCTCTTTTTCGAGAATTCGGATTTCTGAATCCTAAAACATAAGGGGTAGCAGCAATCTGGGAATTACGTCGAATTTTTTAATTGCGAGCAAAAATAGTTTAATTCGCTTTAAATGCTCTCGAGATATGGTGAAATATGCAAAAAGTAAAATTAACAAAAAAGTAAAATTAAAGAGGGATTCAAACTCTGGACCTCTCTTTTGACCAAACTATTGGGACCATATTTCCCAGATTGCGACTACCCCCTACAATTTGGGGATCAGAAATCTGAATCCGTAGTAAAAAGGTTATATTATGTTTTTGTGTCTGATTTCTTAACTTATATTGTCAGCTTTAATTAATTCGCATATTTGAGGTCACCTCTTTGAACCTTTAAGAGTTAGTCCTGGAACGTAAAGATCCGATCATTAACATCAAAAATTATTCAGGGTGATCCGTTTCTTATTTTACTCACTGTACTTCAGCTACCGCCAATTAACAATGATCATTTATTAATTTTTTTAATACCTTACTTTTAAAAGTACGTTGCTATGCCAAACGTACCTACAAGTGATTCTTAATATTCCGAAATAATAATTGATGAATAAAACGATGGAAAAAAGGAGCGAGTTGGTTCTTTTTTCTGAGAAAATTCTAAAATTACGGTGTTATGAAGGTGAATGTCATTTTTACAGAGATAGTGTTTGCACTCCTCTTCATCTGATCCGCTAAGACATGGACTAACACAGATTTATTGTTGTCGTTTAAAAAAGAAAATAAATTATCTAATCGTTCACATGAAATATGTTGTATCCAACGAAGTAAAGACCACGAAAAAGACAATTTAATCTTGTGCTCCATTGCAGATCTCTTTCGCCAAATGTTCAATTCGGCCTCCAAGGAAAAGGAAAGTGAAATTATCTCCCATATTTTCACACAGTTTATTACACCCATAGGTATAAAGTTTGCCCCCCTTTTTAAATATTTTCACCCCTATATTAGTCCGTGATTACACCAGAACTCTGGTAAACCTGGTGAAGGAACAACCCTTTTTGCAGGATCCGATCCAGGTGAGCCAGAGGACTGTTAAACCTAGAATAGTGAGCAATCTGGCACGAGCGATTACTCACCGGGACGGCCGGGTCACTATATTAACAGAGGACCACCTATTATATTGTATATAGTTATGTGGATTCTTCCTTCTATATAGTTTTTGTATCTAGTTTATTTTTTATTTGATAACTTAACAATGGAGTCCCTCCAACCTCTTCTTTAATCATTTTATTTCATATTGTATCAATTTATGCCTAACCAAATTATGACAAAATAGTTTCGATGAATCAGCTAGTGGCGCTTCGCACCAAATGCTGAGGTTCCACGCATTTCCAGCATTCCAGCTCCCATATTTTTTCCCTGAAATATTTTTAATTGAAAATTCAGTCACACTAACGGATAGTTACTGTAAGCTATTAAAATAAGTAGTAATTATGAACATTTAAAACCACATTTATACTTTTCAATTTCGTCACCCATTTTGATGTTTTTATTACCCATACACTCGCTTTAATGACTAAACACCAATTGAAACTACCAAAATAAAAGTACTTGATCTATTTAAATTGTTAATTCGGGTCAATCTTGCTTTACCCAGAGCTTTGTTTAGCATGGCAATTTTACTCAACAAACTTTATAAACAAATATGTTTTTTCCTTTTTTTTCTTTTTTTTGCGCACGCAACTTCCGTCCAATAACTCTTTTTTTAGAGTTTCAAAAATATCCGTATGCCTTTTCACATTATATTTTACATCCTTTAGTGTCAGAGATGTTTACATTGTATCAATAAAACATTCAAAAAATTATAATTTTTCCAATAGCATTTGCAGTGGAGAAAGGCAAAGAAAGTTGACACAATAATTGAAGAATTCAAGCCCTTTGAAGTAAGTTATTCGTGTATTTCAGAATTAATATATCTAAATTATGGTATGAGCGAAGGAAATAGAATGGTTATTTAAAAATTTCCTATACTACTTGAAAAAGTATATTCAAAACTATCAGAAAATTTAAAAAAAATTACCGTGTTTCTGGCACTATTTAAACACTAAATGGCCCGGTATTTTTTTCGGAGCGAGTTGGCAATGCTTTTAGTAAAATGAACCATAAAATATAGTATTACCTGATTAAAAAAATTCATTCACTTAAAAATCAAGCAAATTGGGAAAAAAACAGTCAGCAAGTTTTAGGCACTTCAAAAAAATAGCAGCCATTTTCAAGACTTGTCATACGTAAATGTTTCACTCATGGCAAGTCTTAAAAATACAAAAATTTTCAATTAAGTACTGTCTTACGGCTTCAGTTTCTTGGGATTATTTAACAGAAAATATAATGTTATAATATGTGAAAAAATTTAGTGAACTTTTATAATTTTATCATGATACCTTAGAGCATGGCATAAAAACCATACCTTCGGTTAAATTTTCTTTTCAATTTTGTCTTTCTTACTAAAAGTGTGGTAATAAGAACTTTAATTTTGAAAACCGAAATATCCGGTAAACAGTTTCAATATGAACATAAAAATTTCTTTATGAATGATTTATAAATACCGCATATTTTGATGCTATTTCAAAACTCTAGGTCTTCTTTAAGAGAAATATCATTACCATACAGTACGGTAATTTTACCAGAATTTTTTTCTCCACGTAGACTGCTTCTTCGCGTAAGCTTCACATTTTGAGAAAAATATTTGAAAAGCTGGTTTATACATCAGTATATGTATCGCCGGTGGTTCATATATGGAAAGAAAATTCTTCGCCCGGTAATTCATACTCATAGCATTCAGTGTATTGTATTAAGACACAAAAAAGTAACTACTTTACCATAGACACGTTTTAAAAAAATCGAAAGGAGCATGTAACTTTTTTATGCGAGAGGCAAATCAGTTAGAAATTTTCTATTGAAATTAAATGTTAATGTCTTTAAGCACAAGCAGAAATTATTTATTTTAGCAATATTAGAAAATATGACATGAAATCAGTCAAGATCACTTAAATCTGCAACTGGTAACAAATTCAGTAAGATCAAAACTATTAAGAAGTAAGAAATAAATAAATGAAAACTATTATTTATAATTTAGATATTGTTACAAATATATTCTTGGACTATCGAATAAACCCTTTTACTTACAAAATTGCGAAGCATTTATTTTAATATAAAAAAGGGTTAACGAACTTGAGATAAAGAAAAAGTATACGAACCCATTTTGTTTTTCTACATTGCAGCAATTCTTTTTGGATAAAACGAAATGGCTAGATAAAAATTGATTAAGTACTTAAACACTATCTCTGTGTGTATGCTTATCTTGATCGAAAAACAACTGTATGAGACTAACGTTAGCAAATGTTTGCAAAAGGAAGTTTTACTTCAAGAACTATAGTATATTTGTCTTTTTTCGCAGAATTTTATTCGCATATAGTTAACATGTAAAATGAACTCAAAAATAAGTCGATGTTTTTTCCTCGGTATTTTTTATGAGATGAATAAATTTGCTAAAAAATAAAATAAATAAAAAATGAAACAAAAATATACACTTTTATTTTAAGGGTACTAAAAAAAGATATATGTCCCCTGGTTAACCGGAATGGTAAAAAAAAATAGGGAACTAAATTTTAGTCAAATAGAGAAGTATTTCTTTTTCACGGAAAAAGTTTTAAAACTAAAAATTGCTCTTCATTTATCTATTCTCTTAAATTATTTCAGCATCAATTACAAAATTTATTATTTTCTTTGTAAATTATTTTAGCGTCCCTGCAATAAGAAAAAGCATAATCACAACTATCAGAATATAGTAAAATTAAGCATGTTTCTGGCTCTATGGGAACATCAAAAAACGCGATATTTTTTACTGAAGCACTTTAATTATGATTTTGGTAAAATGAACTACAAAATATTGTTTTCTAGTTTGTGCTAAAATTTGGTAAATATGGTCAAATTTGGTGGCAGTTTAATCATGTTACCTTAGAGCAAGGCATAAAAACTATTCATTCGGTTAAATTTACTTTTCAATTTTGTATTTGTTACTCAATGTATGGTATTAAGAACTACTAGTGGGCTGCGTCCCCTGCTCGCTAACGCTCGCCAACCCTTAAAAATTGCTACGCAATCTTATTTGGTTTGCTTCACAAACCAAGCTCGCTTCGCTCGCTACTAACTTAGGTGCATTGCAAATGCACAAAATTCTAAGAATTCAAAACAATCATTTAAATCCATGTAACAACTTTTTTTTAAAAAAAAATAGTAATACTTTTTAGTAAATACTAAGTCATTAAAATAAATTTGAATTCAAATAAATGACATGTAATTCGTTAAACCTATTAGAAATGTGCTATAGTATAAAATCTTAAAGCGTAACAGCACGACTGAGACTCATTTTTCAATGAATAACTAATAACAATAATAAAACAAATAAATTCGTGATATAAATCAAAAATCGTCAAATAAATTCGTAATATATAAATTCGTTAAAAAAAGCGCTTTCGACAAAATACTGAAATAGAGATCTATCGACAAAGACTACTCACTTCTGCCTAGCTTAACAGTATGAGATTGCAGCATCTGAATCGTTATTTCAGTTTCCGGTTTTAAAAGCGCTATATGTTGAGCCACCTCGGCTAGATTTAGCATGTGACATTTTTAGCGGCAATCATTGGTCGATTTCCTAGCGTTGCCATTCGGGAAGTTGTAATGAGGCTTTTTTTTGTCGCCGTGTAAGAGAAATGTCTATATAGATTATTTTGAAAATTGGAAGTTCCGTTCAACTGTTTATAATGAACGGAAAATTAAGAAATGTATGGTTTAAACAGCGTACACTTTGAATTACCAGAAATGTATTTACTATACAGCACGTTAATTTTACCAAAATTATCTTCTTCGTGTGGGTATAGACAAAGTAACTAATACTTTTGATATACTTTTTGTTTCATTTTTATTGATTAAAATGTGTTCGATGGATTATTGTCACCAAATAATAAAATTTTATATAATTTTAGAAATTTTTTACCACTTACATATTAACAATTAGAATTCATTTACTGTTAGAAGAGGCCCTTTTTCTGACATAATAATACTATTTGCCCAAAAAATGTTCCTTTTAAGTGTCGTGTACAATCTCTTATAAACAAACAGTTGTGAAAAGTAACTATTACATTTAAATTTAATTTTTGTAAATTCCTTTATGTAAAATTAATATAAATGTTTTTTTACAGGTTCTAGAAAAATACATGCCTATCAATGCTTTTGCTTTTGATAAAGAAGACTCGATATGTTATTACCTACCTGTGTCAAAGTTCGACGTTAAAGGTAATATTTCTACTAATCATTTATTTTCGTCTATTTTTAATTTAAAATTTCTTAACCAATTAATAAACTCGTTGATTCCAATACATTAAGGAAGAGGTTGAACAAAATAAACTCAAATCAAAACGAGGTAGCTACTAAAAATAGAGTACATGAGGAGTAGCGTAACATATTTAGAACAAAGAAATAACTTTTGTCTGCTCCATTTGATTGAAATTTTGATTTTTTTAAAAAGTGGAACATTCCAATTTACTTTATCGTTTTTAATATTGTTGAATAAATTTCTTACAGTATATAAAAAAACTGATGATTGATGTCTAATTCATCAAGTAAATCTTGTTACATTAAAACCAATTCCTTAGTTTGGCGGAGAGAGTTGAAATGCTTGGTCATTTTTTTAAATCAGAACTTTTACTAATTACCAAAAGGCCAATTACCAAGAAATTTAAATACGAAGCAATGAGAGGGATGTGAAAAAATTTTGAAATGCTCGTCTCTTTTTTTAAAAAGAAAACTAGAGCCAAATTGATAAGATTAAAAAATTTTAATTTATCAGAGTTTTTATTCATGGTTGCGAAAATGCAATTTTTGAATCCTATCTACTCTTGCTTCTAAAACGCATTATTCCAAAAACTATATAAACAAATTAATGTCTAATATATTCAAATCTTCGCTTAATATAAGTCAATATCTTTCCATATTATTATACGTTACGCTTTTTGTACCAATTCATAACAATAGCTACTGCAAATGGCAAAAGTATTTACTAGATAGTACAGCGATTGGGTTGCTTGGGAACACTATTACCTTAGCGAACAGTAAAATTACCAAATGAATGATTTAAATACCGTATACTTTCGTAATTATGGTTTTGTTTACCATATTTTTGGTAATTGTGGTTTGTTTTTTTTACCGGAAATGTCTTTACAAGTATGGAAATTTTGCCAATTTTTTTCGCCGTCTGGAAAGTCACCAGATGTAATTACCCTTTTATATTGTTGTACTTTATACATTAAAATAACCGTGTTTTATTCATTTTGCTTTTAAGGGATTCATAGATCAGCAAAACCATCTGATATTGACAGCTACCTAATTCGATCACTCGAACTCGGCGAAAGAGCCATAATAGAACGAGCTGAAAATGTAAGTTACGTCTACTTATATGTCTATATAACACAAACATGTAATGGTCTAATAGTTTTCCATTGTTGTCAGTGCATTTGGCCTAAAACCGACATGATAGCATTCAGTTTTCCATTGTTCTCAGAGCATATTTGACCTAAAACCGACATGATAGCTTAGAGTTTTCCCACATTTCCAATTCAATAATCCATATTTTTTTATGGTTACAATCAGCATGAAATTAACACAAGCTATTACAAAGATATTGTTTTCTTAAAAATATTTTTGTATCCCTAATTTAAAGGTATTTTTCTGCAATTTTAATTTTTCTCACTCTACTCTGCTATTATTATTGCGTTTTTGATATATATATATATATATATACAACCATACGTTATATATATATATATATATACAAACATACGTTTTTTTGCTATAACTTCACAAAATATTCAATGGAAATAAACAAATTTTTTGGAGAAATTTAAAATTAATTACAAAATTTAAAGAAATTTAATTTATAAAATTTTATTTCACGATTTCAAAATGTTTTTAAAAAAATTTTAAAAACTGTGCAAGATATAAATATTTAAGCTAATTCTTTTTTACTGCGCATGCACAGAAAAATTTAAAAAAGGTTTTTCCTAGCTTTGTAAGGAATCGTATTTAGGAACTAAAAATGATAGCCTTATTTGAATATCTTAAAATTTTTAAAAAATTCAAGCAATTTTTAGGTAGTTTTTGCACTTTTTAACGAAAAGCTCAAAATGATAAGGAGTTATCCAAAAATTTCATCTTGTACTATTAAACAATATTTATTAAAAATGAGACTATCATTGTGGGGGATCACCCCCCGTAAAAGTATGTTTTCCTTTGCATGTTTTCTTTCTTTATTCCATCAAACTTTAGTTTCCGGGTGATTATTATAAAAACCTTTAAATAGAATTTTTAAAGCATATCTTCCTCGTAATATCAATAACCTTGTAACATTCCTCATCATTAAATGTTTCGCTATTTGCAAATTTTTAAAAAATGAATATTCAAAATTGTATGATCAAAATTATCAAAATAATCAAAGCTTATATTATCACCTTTTATGGTCATTCGATGGTTGTGTGCTGGTGGCGATAAGGTCAATAATACCTTACTTTAAAACTTTAAACTCCTGTATTTTAAAACCACATCTCTCAAAATAATATATATACCATGACTAAATAGATTAATTTATGTTAAATTGCGTCAAATTGTTTGAACACACGGCATTCTTGCATTTAATTCCGGAAACTAGAATTTAATTTATACCTTAGTTACAATTGTCCTTAGTTCCTTTAATTTTTATAAAAATCTTCCCATTCTTTCAGACATTATCCGTTTTTTTCGGATTTTGTACTTTAATTTAAATTCATAGACAAAAGCAACAATACTGCAAAATTAAAAAATTTGCATACGTTTAATACTTCATGCACTTTAAACTGAATTTATTATGTCTGCAGAGATAATCGTTTTTGGAGACTGCAGTAAAATGGAAACGCTCACATATCTCAAGAAGTAAACCTTAGATCAAAATTCTAGAAACTCAGAAGTTACCCATTTTCACCTTGCGATAATAGCGCCATCTTTGAACTGAAAGGATAAAATTTAAAGGTTTAGTAGGAATATTTTTTTCTTAAGAATCCAAATCTGCAGTTTAAAAAGAGAGTTCCTATTTATTATTTTGAAATTGGCTCATTTCCGGGGATGAATTATGGGAGTTTGGAATCATTGAATGCATCCTTTTATAACCGGTGTTGAACAGCCGACCCAATTCTGAGTTAACGACTATAAATATTTCACAGCCTTGTAACTTTGAAGGCAAGGAAACACCTGATTCAGGCAATGGGACAAACTAATCTTCTTGGTGGACTTTTGATGAAACCAACTCGCATTTGCGTTACATGAAGAGAAAAACCACGAAAACCACGTGCAAGTAAGTCCGATGGTAAATGGATTCTAATCCATAATTCGTCTACCACTGAGGTTATTTTACATCAACTCTGTGGTCAGTGCAAACTGAGAACAGAATTCTCGTCAACACGCTGCCGCTAAGATTCGAACCTGACGTACTTCATTGTGAGGCGATTACTCGATCCTCTTTGCTACCATGGCTCTAAATGCGCCCTTTAAAAATATTACACATGTTCATACTCAGATTTTTGATCTGATACGTATTTATTGAGAATTTTGTCGATTTTTCATACTTTTTGAACGCCCTGTATATAAATTTTAAAAAATACTTTGTTTCAGAGAAAAGGAAAACTTCCCGGATATGTTCTAGTGTATGACTTGGAAGATTTACCATTTGCTACTGCCACTGATAAAAAAGGTAATTAACTATCGCACGTTTCTAACAATATTTTTTTATTTAGCTTTTACAATTTTAAAACCAAACAAAGTTTTCAATATCACCTGATTAAACTTTCAATTTCTTAAAACAAAACATCGAAATTTAATAAAAAAGGAAATAGTTATTCACAAGAACTATGACTTTCTGCATGGTTTCCTTACTTTAACACTAATAATTAATACTTTTAACCCTTTGTGATATATTTAAACCTTTGTTTATTGGCATTCAATGAGACTGGTGGCTAAGAGCAAGCATACAGCTGTAAAAGCTTAATGTCTAACAATTACCTATTAAGGTTTCAACTTAGCCTTCATAAAAAACACTCATTAGATCAGAAGTTATCACACGTTTCATTTATTATTATTATTATTATTATCCAGATCATTAATAAAAAAGAAATAAATATTCACGGAAACTACGATTTTTTATTTGATTTCGTTACTTAAAAATTAATTAATTAGCATATTTAACACTTTGCGATCGTATTTTGTTGACATTCTAATGTTGTCAGTGGAAAAAGCAAAACGGACACTGCCCCGAGGTCCCATAATGGATAGACGAATAAGAGAAAATCATTAGAAGAATTAAAAAGCACAGAAAAATAATGAACCAGCAAACACTAATTAAAAGTACACATAGTAAGACTTAAATATGAAACGCCCACTTATGAATAAAAATAGCTACAGTTACAGTTAGAATAACCAAATCAAAAGAAAATATAAATCGCCAAATCAGCTTTTCAATTCTTGTAATGATTTTCTCTTATTTGTCTATCCATTCCATTATGGGGCCTCGGGGCACTGTCAGTTTTGATTAGTGTGTCTCCTAAAGAAGTGCTGTATTGCCAAAACACATATCTTTTATTTCATTGCTTTTTATTGCTTTTTCCTGCTTTAATTATCTGTTTGAATATCTATATTACTATTACTATTATTATTCTTATTATTATAACTACTACTACTACTACTGAATGTAAATCATAACTCAAAGATATTCAGGTTTCTTAAATTATTTTAATTAGATGTGGACATTTATTTGAAACTAATATTCATTTCTGATTTTTTTTAAATTTATATTAAAGCATATTTTTAATATTTCAGGTATTGAAGATCTCATTAGAACGGCAAAAATTATTCAAGACAACTATCCAGAACGCCTAAAAGCTGTATTGATCATTAACGGTAGGTACTTAGAATTTCAGTAAGGGGAAAATTTTATTTTCATCACCTTTATCGATTACATATGTAGATAAAGTTTATATATTTTTTTTATCAGTTATATATTTTTCCTTTTGCAGAAAATGTAAAATTAAATCATATATTAAGTCTATGATTCAAATCAGCAGTTAGATTATTTTATAGAGTGTGTAAATTATTTTTTGGATGATACTAGAAAGCTTCACCCCCTGCTCCCTCTACTCGCCAATCCCCATTATTGATCCTTATACATTGTTCATTTTTTTTAACGTCAATATTTCCACAAAAACGCAGATCATTTTAGTTTTAAAAAACACAATTATTTTCTCTTTTTAAAGAACATTTTGTTAATATGTGAATCACCACGAAAAGGACAAATACCTGGAGTTGTAAAAAAATTATCAGAAGTGGAAAATAAAAGTTTAGTCTAAAGAACACAGAATGTGTAACACAATAAGGAGAAATTAAATGCGATATAATTTTACTCGTTGTATCTGTCTGTACGTATGCGGGTATACCGTAGACTCTAAAAATATAATATTCAACATGAAGCCAAATGAATTCAAAAGTAAACAAGTTACGCTGCACGAGTTTTGACTTTTTAAATATATTTTTAATTTAAAGGCATTTAATTTAAAGGCTTATTGGCTTAGTGCAGGGATGTACAAACTTTTTTGATCGAGGGCAGAAAAAAACGGACCAAAAAGAGTTTGGTGGTCAAAGTAAAAACTTCTAAAATAAAAAAAAAAATTATATACAAGTTTTAATTTAAATATTTAATGGAAGGAATGAAATTGTGATTTCATTTTCAAAAGTTCCTTATATTGAGGTTCGAAGTGAGATGTACTTATTTTAAGGAACGAACTAAATACTTGTCTGTAAGTCTTCATCTGAAATGATTTATTCTATGGTTTATAGTTAAAAACACTTGTTCACATATATAAGATGAAGCAAAGTTAACACTGATTTTCTGGTCATGAAATATTAAATTTGGGAAACTAGATTTTTTTTAATTATCTGTAAAACTCCAACTTTGGCATATTTACAAGCAACTGCTTCAGATGATAGTTAGATTGCAACTCAATTAATTCAAGCTACAAATCCGACCTCACTGTTTCGCAATCTACTTTGAAACGCATGGTAGAAATATCTAATTCTGTTTGAATGGTACTGAAATCTGTGAAGTACAGTTCACCTGTATGTCTTCCGTATGTCTGCCCCTCGAGTATGAAAAATGCTCCTTGGCCTATAATTTACGGTTATTCTATAAAGAACTCACTTTCAACATTTTACCAATTGAAGCTGTCTGTGCCAGCTATTTCTGTAAATTTATATTTTGTAGAACAAAAGTAGAGAAAGTAAAAAGGTCACCAGTACTAAGTTAAAAAAGAAAGAACAAAAATAGTTACAATTAACAAGCTAAAGTTCTATCAGCAGACCGGATAAAACATTCCGACGGGCCAGAGTTGGCCCGCGGGCTGCAATTTGCCCATCCCTGGTTTAGTGGAAGTCATTGTTTTAAATTAAACTATTAATGATTCAATAAGTCAAATATTTTAAGGATTACATCTGTGATATTTGCATTGTTAATTACGTTGTTCATACTATGGGGGAAAAAAGTTCTTTATTGTACGCTGTGTACTGTTCTTATATTTTATGTTCGATAGTCCAGACTATCTGAATAATCAACGTGATCGCTGAAGCAAAGAGACTTCGTCACCAAATTAGTTCTCCTAAATTGATCAGAAAAAACCTGTTTTTTTTTTTTTTTTTNTTTTTTTTTTTTTTTTTTTTTTTTTTTTTTTTTTTTTTTTTTTTTTTTTTTTTTTTTTTTGCTTATAGTTATACATTTAAAACTTATTAATATAAAACTAAATAATTTAAAATCAGCGGTAATTGAAATAAAAAAAAATATTTTTGTTCAATAAAGTAAAATTAATTGAAAAATGGTACTAATTCATTAAGGATTAACATTAAAAAACGTCAATATTATTATCGAAGAAGATGAATATTAATTTTTGCAATGTTTATTAATTGATCTAAAATAATAAGCTATGTTCTAAAAGGCAAACTCAATAGTGGAATGGTACTATTTCATCAAAGAAAGCGTAAAACTTCGGTTTAACTATTATTGACGTCAATTATTACTCATTTATTCAGTTCTTAATTACATCGCTCGATTTGCTTTTCTTTCGAAGTTCAATCTATAATTTAAAATATTCTTTTCAAACTAATATTGCCATAATGAAAATGAGTAAAATAATATGAAAACTCACCGTTAGCAAAACTTCTACATTTGTTATTAGCAAAGTCTCTAAGTTCATTAACTTAAATCATAGTTTTTAAATCGCCACAAATAGTTGCTTCAAAACAGAATTTAATGCACACAGATTAATGTCATTTTAAGTATCTCGAATTATCTGTTTGATATGATATCGAAAACACGCTCATTTTTCCTCAGACCAGCTGGCAATCATTAGTAGCAAACATATTGGGGTGGTGAGCATTCGAATGACATAATTGGGCAGATGTAAAAAAGAAATCAGACGATAATACAGAAAATTACTTAGACCAATATTATCACACTTAAAACATTCTATAAATTACTTGTCAACAGATAGTTTACTTTAATGAAAAGCAGACGATTTTCTTTCTTTACCTTCTTCTTAAAACTGCTGCCATTTTATGATAAAGCTAGAGAAAAAACTGCTATCAATTTCATTAATTAATTGTTATTTTATTTAACACTCAAAAATTTTATATTTTGCTAACTAATGCTGTGATACCATGCATCAACTATTAATGACTTAATAAGTATTATTTTTTAAAACTTAATATTCTAATTTAAGAAGAAAAAAAGACCTATTTTTGAGAAAACGATTTTGTGAATTAACGTAATCAGAACCATTTTCTAATTTTCAACAATGGGATGCCTGCAAGTGGCGTAATGCGGGTATCTCTATCCTGATTAGTTGTTGAAACATGGCGTTTTTTTACGTTAGAAACAGTTCTTTGCATTCTATTTCGAGTAACCCAAGCCCGTCAAGTGACAATTCTATCAAGTAACGTATTTGTATTTCTACTAAGTGACGCAATCTGTGATTCTTACAAAAAGATGTCAATTATTTCGCTATATATTTCTCACTAAACACAAAGACAGCCGTGAAGCTATGTAGAACATAAACAAGCTAGATATGCATTGAAGTTACCAGGAGCACAAAACAAAAATTTATCACGGTTACAATAAAATATATGAACAAATAATAAATCTAAGTCAAGTAAGAGGCGTAGTAAATTTTCAACGATATGAAAAGTAAATATATATTCNTATGTTGTACGTTTTTATATATATATATATATATATTACATATAAATCTATTTATGTAAATCTATTTTCTGATAAACTACTAAAATGAGAGTTATTACTGTTTACCCCAGTGGTCCTTAGACATTAAAATTCATAAAAATCCAAGGATAAAAAACAAAATACTCGCTTACTATCAACAATAGATTATTTTAAGTTAACAATCGGTACTAAACCCGACATTATCATGCTTTTAAGCTCTCTATATTTTATCCGAATCTGTGATGTTTTGAAATTTATTTAGTTATTTTAATTTCTCAGAGTCTTTAAATACACCAAATATGCTGTTTATAAATATTTAATTTTTTTTCAGCATCCAATCTCTTCACAATTCCTTTTGCAATCCTGAAAAAATTTCTTGCACCAAACGTTGTGAAGAAAATACATGTATACGGAGCAGGTAAGTTATCAAAAAATAAATTTCCATAATTAATAGACTTATACCCACATTTTCGCCCTTGGTAAGAATGCGGGTATAAGTCTTTCACCATACAACAACAACAAGACATAAAAAAATCTGCCTGTTAATAAATGTAATTCTAAGCCTTTTTTTATGTGTGTCACTGAAAATTGATATACATTTTGCTTTAAAGGTAAAGTTTCAATCATTTTTCTTAAGGATTTACCTGAAAGAATTACCTTAGTCTTGAGTTTATAAATGAAGTTCAAATTGAAAACGAAACGTTGATAAATGTAACACTAAGCATTTTTTTATGTGTGTCACTGAAAATTGATGTACATTTTGCTTTAAAAATAAATTTTTAATCATGTTGCTTAAGGATTTGCCCTGAAAAAGTTACCTTTGTCTTGAATTTATATGGGCAGTTCAAATTGAAAACGAAGCTGAACAAAAAATAATGTGTTGAGTTCAATTAAATTTTTTTTTTTAAATCCAGGTGAAAAAGTTAACACTTTCGCTACTCACCCACGGGTTGGTCCTACATTATAAAAATTAGATAAAATATTTAATGTTACTTTAAATAAAAATCTAAATATTGATTCATATATCTAGTCAAAATGCTTTCATCATTCTGGTAACTTTTTAAAATTTTAATATGTCATAAGGAATCATTAGTTCAAAATATGGATCTCCGACTTATTGAATATATGTGTTCTTTGATTAGAATATCTTTGCATTGACTTCACGAACAGCTAATGAACAAAAAAAATTCGAACTCTTGTTTGTAACCATTGACGGAAACTTGATTTCCTTATAGGTAATATTCCGTGATAGTTCTTAAAAGACATTTAAAATAGCCTAAATTTTAATAGCAATTTAACAAAACTGTTTATGAAGTGATTGCTTTATTCGAAGCAATTTTCGAGTTTTTTATGGTGAAAATAATTTAATTAATATATAATATACTGACCCATTGTATATAAATTCAAGGTTTCCTTTTTCTTATTAGATCGTTGGAGGGAGCATCTTTTGAAGCTGATTGATGCTGATAAAATTCCGGCTTTTCTGGGAGGAAAGAAAACAGATCCAGATGGAAATCCCCTTTGCAAGTCAATAGTAAGCAATTTCATTTTAAAATATTTCTATCATATTATAATTATAACCGGAGTTTAACATACGAACTAATTCTGAGTTAACGACTATCAACGTTCAGCTCCCTAACCTTGCAATTTTGAACCCAACCCAGAAGATAAGAGAATCAAGCGTTGAAACAAACTAGCTTTCGTTGAGGATTTTTTGGTGGAATTAAATCACGATTGCGTTACAAAGAGACGAAAACCTGAATAACCTCCCTCGGACAGCAAGGGCGTCTACCACTGAGAATATTTTTACGTACTGTGGTTGATTCGAGCCCAATGCAGCAATTCATATCAGCCGGCACTGTTGGGATTCGAACCTGGTTTACCTCATTGAAAGACGAACAGTCTATCCCCTGAGCCATCTCGGCTCTTCTCGATCCATATAACAAAGAAAAAGAATGTAGTTGTTAAATCATAAGTTCCCAACCGTTGGGAACCTATCAGCTAAACCATTTGCGCATTGGTATTAGCGACTTTTTATTTGGCAAGGTATAGTTATTTAACGGCAAGCATTTATTAATGGTTAATTAATTACATACATTAATTTAATGGTATGGTTATTTAATTGCAAAAAAAGATCCAAATTTCTTCGATTGTTATGGGCATAAAATTACCTAATGAAAGTTATAAGGGTATTTTTATGTAAAATATTTCTTTATCCCTTATTTAATATTATTTACATTTAATGATTATTTATAAATTTTTCTTATTATTATTTTTATCTAATACTGTCAGAATGCCCGTTCTTCTCACGGGATGAATAAAAAAAAGAAAAGAATCAATAAATCAGTACTGAGAAATATTACGCAATCACTCTCAAAACTGAAAGGCATATACCGACACAATTTAGGATGGTAGAACCAAGTGAATGGTATTTTTAGAGGAATTAATAAATTAGAGAAAATAACATAAAGTGGTTGCGTTAATATTAGTATGTTTTTTGTAACAGAACTGTTTTTGTTTTCACTTTTATATTAACATATTTAGTATGCTTACATGATTTTGATTTCAAATATAACAAGCAAAGAATTATTAGTCCCATCTTCTTATAAATTGGTAATAAAATAATTCGGATACAACTTTTTTTTTCGTTCTGAAAATGTCACCTACCTGGTTCTTCCACTAAGTTTTTCAATTAATATAGCTAAAATAATTTAATTTTTTTTTATTTAATGTTATATGTCGTAATCTTCGGTGGTTATACGTTATTGAAGTTAGCAAAGCTCGTTGTCTGTAATTCATACCATTGGAATAAATAATAAATGTATTTAGCATCACTTGGTATGATGCTATTGCTCGCAGGCAATTCATGGTAGTTAAAATTTACAACCATTAAGTGATTTTCTCAAGTACATATCTCTTTCGAGTGGCTTTAAAACACTTAGTTCAACAGTTCCTGCATTAAAACTGATTTGTGGAGTTATAATAAACACCAAATATATATAAATATAATATNCTAATTTTGTATATATATATATATATATATATATTCTAAGAAAAAATGTAAAAATATAAGGTTAAAATAATAAAGTAAATGTTATGAGAAGCATCATCATCGACTCCATATTCTTCTCCTTAATAAAATTTGATAATTTTGAAGCTGCCAGTCATAACTCTCTAACTACATTAGATACAGGGACTCTACATCGAAGAAAAAACACATTTTTAACTTTTCTAATTCTATTCTATTTTGTTAAGTTGCTTATTTTTCTCTCAGATTAACTTTGCTGGTCCCGTTCCGGAAAGTTATCACTTGAAGAACACCAAGAATCCTCTCTGTGGAGATCCTCGTAGCAAAAAGCTTGTGATTCCCCGAACATCTACCATCGAAATTGATTTAGACATTGTCGTGCCAGGGTCTTTAATCCAATGGGAGTTCGAGGCGAAATCTAAAGATGTCGCATTCGGACTTTTCTTTAAGGAGAAAAGCGGAGACGACGTAAAAGTGACAGAACTGGTGCCAATAATAAGACTTGAGTGTGAACTCTGTTCTGAAACTGGTGTTTATAAATGTGAAATGCCAGGTACATGTAAGTATCTCAAAATATCCTCTAGAAAAACTTTTATGGCAATCAAATAATTTCTAAAACTAAATTTTTTTTGTTAATCGCAAGATAAGCTCTCAAAAAGGTAGTTTTTAGTTAAGGACTTTGAAAAAGGATTAATAAAAGACTTCTTAAGGATTATAATAAAGAGTTTAAAACTGCTTTGTCTCCAAATACAGAAATTTAGAACTACGAATTATATATTGCACAAGTTTAAACTTAATTTTCTAAAGATTACAGCAATTTATGCTAAGCTAGACTAAAACAAATAAGTGCGAAGAAAGATTGGATTACTAAGAAACTCGAAGAAAAAAAACAGCGCAATCATTTTCAGGAGTTGGAGAGCGTTGCTATACTGGTATCAGATCTCTAGTTACAATTATGATTGTGTAAAAATCTCAACTTTACGAATTAAAATTGTAAAAGCAACCAAATCTTAAAACTATATACTAAGTGCAATTTCAGCAAAATGAAGAAATACTAAAAAAAAAAAAAAAAAAGAATTTGTTGTGCAGAGATGCGGCAGAATAGTTACATTAGTAATAGTTTTCGTGAATTACAACTATGGTCGGTAGATGGGTACTTTATTTACATCACACTAAAGCTGCACAATGGGTTATTGGCAACTACCTGGGAAAAATCCTTGAGGATGATCCAAAGACATACCATCACAATTTTGATACTGTGCAGAGAGGATCGCATTCGTGACTCCACTTCCTCAATTAAAACATAAATCTGAAAGAGAAGGAAGTTATATTCAGATCCCTGTACCCAGGTTTCTGCTCAGTGGCAGATCACAGGACTTTTGACTCCACAGATTTTCAGAACATATCGCATGCATTTGGTGGGTCTTAGCGGAGTCAATGATCGAATACCGGTCACTCCGGACAGGAGTCCGATTCTCTAACCACTAGATGAATAACAGCTACGATTGAATTAAATAATGACTCTCCTGAATGTATGAAGTAAAAAGCAAAAAAAAAATGGAGCGAGATTTTTGCTCTTACTCTATTAAAAATCCAATTAAGGTTAACAAAAATCGATAAAATAAAATCGAACCTATGAAATAAATGCCAATTCAAAAGGAAAATTAGCATTGTAATAAATTTCGACTCTCCCGAATGGAATAATACTATACGCATAGTTATGTTTGTTTTAACGTTTTTTGATTAATCAAATAATGTGAAGTCACGGTTAAAAAAGAAGAACACCGGAAAACAGAAATTTTATACTAGCATTCAACAAGATTAAATATAACAAAAAAAGAATTCGCGGTGTCGTGGTATTAGTTCGTCAAAATGGATTTAAAAAATACTACTTTTGTACGTAATTACTTTCGAGAGTTGCAATCATGATACTGTTAAATATTAACTCTTTACAATTAGTATTTCAAAAACAATAAAAATTAGAGGTACTATAGTGTTCGAATTAATTGGGACAAGCCAGATTTTTTAATTCGAGTTAGTATGGGATTGCCAGTGATGTCCCGAACCGCTTCAAACCAGTTATATCTGCCTTGAGCTGCTGTGAAGGATAAACCTTCACTATAATTTACTCGTCTGACTGGTTTTAGTGTATTTGTAGTTCAGTTGTGAGCATTTCAGTGTGGAACCTGGTGGTTATAATTTTAAGTTTAGTCTAACACAAGTTATGTGCTTATAAAAGATGGATATTAGTCCGACGAAGCGCTCTAAAATTATCGCTCTCAATGAACACACTTCTATTACTGTAAGAGACATCAGTACAGCAGTTGGTGTAGGGAAATCTAGTGTTTCCAGAATTCTTAGAACATTTCAAGATTCCGGCTCATTTTCTCCATAAAGAAAAGGAAAATGTGGACGGAAAACTACTCCAAGAACTGATAAAAGTCTAATAGTAAAATTAATTCAAGAAAGACGAGCGAAGACATCCGAAGGGATTTATTGTTGTGAGTACTTCAACTGTACGAAAAAGGCTTCTAGAAGTTGGACGTAAGGAAAAAACAATTTCTAACTCAGAAAATGATGAAAAAACGTTTAGCATGGGCCAGAAAATACCAAAAATGGACTGTAAATGACTGGAAGAAAGTGGCTTTTAGTGATGAAACATATTTGTTTGTGCAGGGATACAAATCAAGTGTAGTTAGACGATTGAAGGCGAAAGTCTGAGACCAGATCATATCCAACAGACTGTAAAACANTACGTTTCTATCGATATGTGATTGTAAATCGTCTAGTAGGTGCATTAATAGTACAAATGACAACGCACAGCGCGAAGGGGTGGGGGTTGCCTCTTAACTATTTACGTTTGAATGCGCATGTGTGGTTAAATAAGTAAGGTAATATTCGAAACAAGGAAAGATATTCAGTCGGTTCTATAATTTTAACAAGCTCTGCTTTGTGTATGCTAGTAAAAGGGAATATAATACCTCTTCGCAGGCGTCTGTAACCGGTTTTTGTTTATATTCACTTTACAATAATTCACTTTACAATAATTCACTTTATTTACTTTTAGACACTTTGGTTTTCGACAATTCATACAGCTGGATCAGATCGAAAGAAATTTACTACAAAGTGTCTGTCGTAAACCCCAAAGAGCATGAAGTCCAATTGGAACGCTGAGCAAACACGTAAATGAGGACGAATTTTGTGTTTACCACCAATTATTTAATATTTATATTTGTATTTTAATGCATTATCGTTTTTAATTGTAAAATAAAGTATTTTCATTACAAGTTTACTTTTTCTTTAAGCTTTATAAAAATGTCAAAAAAAATCTACTGGGATTTTTTATTGGATTTTTTTTCCAACGTATAGCAAAATAAACATAAACGAAATATATTTTCACAAAAATTTTTATTAATTAACAAATTATAAAATAGCGTACTACACACGTACTAGTACAACTACAAACGTAGTTTAGCATTAACCTTTTAACGCTGATAGACCCCGATTTCTTTTAGTATTATTACATTTAGTATTTCTTTAATATAAAAAACAGTCTAACAGTGTACTAAAATGTAAAATCTAAAAAGAGTAGTTTAAATAGGAATTTTATTTTTCTTTCAAAAATTGATCAGAAGAAATATCAATAATGTATAACTGTTTCTCTTAAATCGAAATAACAGCAAATTTGAAAAATTATTGTTTGGAAGTAAACCGTTTTTGGAAAATTTTGCCTTTAACTCAGATAAAGACATAGGTGTTAAAATCTTTATGTTGGCAACACAATAAACAGGAAAAGTCGTTAATAAACGTTGTTGCATAAAATATATTTTACTTTCGGTTTTATGCAATATTTCAAAACAACAAAATTTGCTTAACTTAATTGCTTTGTTATAAAAATGTACATTTATAGCTGAGCTAAGAACATTCCCACAATTTGATGACCCGGTCGTGATACATCCTTAAACCAATCAATACCGATGAATCAAAACCGATGCATCCTTAAAATTTAAGCAACAACCTCTGCATTTCGGTAAATCTTTATGGTGTGACATATCTACAAACATGGTATGACATAAACAATATAGATTTGCAATTTTCCAACAAATACATAACTTATCTCACGCTGTTCTCCAATCTACAATTAAACAAGTTACAGCAAGATTCATTTGGCCTGGAATAAGGACACGATCTACGAACGTGGGCACAAACTTGTAGTGTAAAAAATTTAAAATGTCTAAACACACTAAATCACAATTTGGAGAGTATGATCTATCCGATGAACGATTCAATGATGTCCATATTGATCTCATTAGACCGCTTCCACCATCCGACGGAAACAGTCATTGTTTAACACGTATTGATCGCGTTACAAGCTGGATTGAATCAATTCAAATTACAGACATAAGGGCTGAAAGGGTAACCAAATAGAACCTTATAGAGTAACCTTATAAAATTGTAGGGGGAGCTGTTATCGACAATGCCAACCTTCATCTATCAAAAGGTACCTCCTAATTGAATCAAGTTAGCACGTCTTATATGCTAATAAATTGATGTTTAATTTTCGTAGTGATAGTTACGCCACAATACTCCCCCACCAGGATTTTAGCAGGGATAGAATTCGATGAACGGATACCACTAGTTGCTGCACTTGTGAAAGACCGAGAGAGCTGAATTAAGGTAACCGGATGCTGTTGTTTTTTAAGTGCTGAATGTGAGAGGTGTATTAACTTCACGTTCGTAGTCGCCCCTGTGTTGCCTTTAGCAGTCGAGTGTCAGCAGGCTGAAGTTGTGTCTGATCGAGACGAGACTGAGCAGCAACAGCATGAGGAGGTGGGTTTGGGTAATATTGCAGTCACAAGTAGCAACTCTACTGTTCAATGTGAACGAACCATCCATAGAAGTAGGCATTACCAGATCAAAGTGGGCGTTACTGTCGAGATAGACGTGATCATATCACGTCCGTAAGTCACCAATGTGGGGAGAGGTGGTCCCCTAGTAAATTGTAATTATGGTGGTATGGTATGTAATTAGAGGTGGTGGGTAATCACCGATTTGGATCTTAATTTCGTATTCAAATCACTCACAAATTTATATGGAGTGAAAATAAACAGGACAACTCCCTCCAATCCACAGTGAAATACAAAGATAGAGCGCCAACATCGTACGTTAAAAGTAGTCATAAAAGTTCACAATTTCATCAAATGGACTGAGACATTATCAACAGTATTACTTGGTCTCAAAACTGCTCTCACACTATAAGCCAGCAAGCGTCATTGATGTTATCTTAAAAATAAGGGATAAAACTGAATCGCTTATGATTTACTTTGAAACACTGACTATCCCTAAGCCGATGAAAAAACATAGTATTTTCTGATTAATATTCTCTGAAAAATATAGTATATTTTGAAAATAGTATTGAGCATTTACCTCCACGAAAGCAAAAATTTGCCCCAATACTTGATCCAGGAGTTCCCTTGTCTTCTAGATGGTGTTCAAAATTACAATTTAATTTGACCGATACACGCAATTCCCAGAGCCAACTTTTTTTCTTTCTTTTTTTTAAATTTTTGGAGGAGCACGATCCCTCTAAAACTGATTTCAAATTAAAATATGCGTCATATTTTCTGAAAATATCCCTATTTGTCTAAAAATAATTTAAAAATATTTTTAAAATCCTATTAGTTTGTCCAAAATAAGATATTTCCCGCGTTTATATTTTCAGCGTATATTTCAGAAACAATAGAACTGGCAATTAGCGAATTTTTTTAAATGGCACTTTTTTAAATCTGGTTTGTTAAAATACAAGCATATTATTTTTGAAAATGCCCATATTTCTCTACAGAAACTTAAAGAAAAGTATAAAAATAGTTCTATTTTGTTCGAACAATCAATTTTCAATGAACTTAAAAAATTATCGAAAATACGGACAATTTGCATTTTTTTTTTTTTTTTTTTTTTTTTTTTTTTTTAAACTTTTAAAAGCACGATTCTTTTAAACTGTTTTTATAAATAAATATTATCGTCCTATTTTTTGAAAATTCTTATATTTGTCTAAAAATAGCTAAAAAATAGTTTTAAAATACGTTTATTTTGTTCAAAACAAGAAATTACCAGCTTGTATATTTCAGTGCATATAGAAAAAGTAATAAAAAGGACAATTTGCGAAATTTTTAAAACTTTTTGAAAAGCGCTATTCTTATAAAACTTATTTCATGATGGAATATGCGCATCGTATTCTCTAAAAATGGCCAGATCTCTAGAAATAGCTTAAAAAATAGTTTTAAAATACTTTTAATTTGTGCAAAACAAGATATATTCCCATCGTATATTGAATAAACAATGAAACGGACAATTGGTGAAATTTTTTAAATCTTTGAAAAGCGCGATGGAACTGATAAAAACTAATAATTTATCTTAAAATATTAGTGCCGTATTCTCAAAAAATGCTTATAATTGTCTAAAAATACTTAAGGAATATTGTTAAAATTGTTTTATTTTTTCCAAAACACGCAATTTCCAGTGTACATATGGAATTATCAAAAGTACGGACACTTTACGAATTTTTAAGAATTTTTTGAAAACATGACTCTTTTAAAAAAATTCATGATAAAATAAGGACGTCATGTAGAGAGGATAAACACGAAAACTTTCCACGGTTAGACCGATGCCCATATTTGTTAATAGATACCTAACTCTTGAAACTGGTTTAATTTTAAAAATATGTGCTTCATATTTTTTAAAAATGCCCATATTTATCTAAAAATGCTTTAAGGCTATTTATAAAAATAAAAAAAAATTTAAAAAAATAATAAGAAAAAAACGCAGAAATATGATTTCCTTTTTTTACAATCTACACATATTTTCCTGAAAATTATATCGATAAACTTAAATCAAATTGATTACGCCAATAGCCCAATAGTTGTCGCCAATAGCCCATTGTGCAGCTCCAGTGCGACATAAATGAACAACAACAACAACAAATTGATTATCCATTTAATTTTTTTTTTCTTCTTGTTGTTGTATTTATTTTTTCCATTGAATAAACATCAGGATAATACCTTTGGATCGATATTTATCAAATCAGCTTTTTGTTAATAATTATAAAAATATAAAATAATAAATTATAATAATATATAATTATATATCATAATAAATTATAATAATACGTAGTAATAAATTATGTTATATAACAATAAATTATAATATTAATGAATACATTTTTTGAATTAAAAAGAAATTCTAAATGTATCTGGGGAAAAAAAATTCCATTCGAATCATGGTGTAAAAATAAAGAGGAAAATAATCAAAATACCAACATGTACGTGATTGGTGTATTCTCATTCGATAGAAAAAGTTCCGTCAGTGAGATTAGTCCTTGTATCCAAAGAGATGCAAAAACAAGCAGTGAGATTGAACAAGGATCATTAATGGCATATAATGATCTCTCCAAAAACATTTTTAAAAAATATTCTTTATTGTTTGGCAACAGTCTTATTTGTTTACTTGATTTTAGAATTAAATATAGATTCTTATATCAAATCTCTTTTAAAGTTTATTGTTCTCTTAATTGGGTGAAACAAGAGGTTAATGGATTTGCAAGGTAAATTGGGTTTTTCTTATAAAAAGTTTTCTTTAAATAACAGTCTATTTTAATTTTGAGAAGAAAGAATTCATATTCTTGCATTGAAGTTATTTGCATTTTATTGTTCTCTTAATGTTGTAAATCAAGAGTTTAATATACTTGCAGAGTAAACGGTTTAAGACAGAGAATGTACTAATTTTGTTGTTCTACGCGTTGCCTAGAATTCAAATCGGCGGTATTCAAATGGAGTTACTGAAAGTGTCTGGTACAAAAAATTTTATTTTAAATTTACGTGTAGTGATGTGCTTGCATTCATTTACTGACATAATTGTTCATCAAAGATATTTTTTTTTCTCTTTTAGAATTGACTTTATATAAAATTTTATAATTTTTAGATAATTTTTAATATAATATTTAATATAATATTTTGATAGTTCTTACTCTCTTTGTTTTCCTCATTTATTTATTAATCTAATCTCTGCGTTATAATTTCTCCGTTGAATTTATTGATTAATATTATTGTACCTTTTTTCGCTTAATTTTAATAAATTCTAATCTTTAATCATTATGGGGCAATGGACCTAATTAGTTTTAGGGTCCTATAGATGGCAATAAATTTTTGATGTGTACAATGAAACGAATAGGGTAAAGTGGGTAAAAAAATCAAGCTTTTTTTAATTACAATTACATTTATTTAACTAAAACTTTTCATGCATTTTATGTTCATGTTATTTTTCATTTCATATAAATTAAATTTGATGTATAACTTACCTATGTTGTTTGATTGTTTTCTTCGAGAAATGCATTCAACCCCAGAGTGGGGTAAAGTGGGTATATCCCCGTATATAATTCACTAACAAATGTATGTAAATATTGTTTTTGAAATAAAAATTTTCTTTAAAAAATTTATCATTATTTTAAAAAATGAAATATTAAAAAAATATTTTTTTTAGTTCAATTCATCAAAATTTAATACAATTACATAATTCAATTTCAGGAGAAATCAAGAAAACTGTAAAAATTAATATCAATTGTGGTAATTTAAAGTATTTTTACTATTTATAACTGACATCTATATTTTATTCAATTTAGTTATCAAGAAATTGTTTCACTTTCATGAGCTGCCATTTGATGCTAGAAACTTTTGTGAAAACTCATCTATATCTTTAAATATGCTGACTCATTATGCTATTTTGTTAATTTTTTAATTGTATAATAATGTCTATTATATTGTTATGTCCCCCATAACATTCTTCTCTTTAAAAAATAAAATTTGAAAGAAATTTTTGTTTCAGTGTTAAAATTACTATATAGGATTATGATCGAATAAGTAAATTATTTTTAGCTATTCCATAAAATATAGATCTTTACATACTTACTGCAGCTAACACAGAAGTAAAAAAAAAATTCCTTTTCATGCAATATTTAGCTAAGCGTAACCATATACCCTCTTTACCCCACCACAGAAAACAATTCATAATAAATAGAATTTGGAAATTTATTCTTTAATTTCTATGTAACTCTGCTCTTTAGATTTCTTTCTAGCAGTTTGAATTAAAATTAATAGTTTTTACCTGTTTTTAATGATATTAATTTAAAGTTCATCAACAGCTTAAACTTACATACTGTTTAAGTTAAATTGTAAACAGAGAGTTTAAAAGCAATAAATTTTTTATCAGTTTCTTAATCTGAAATAAAAATGCTTGCCGCAATCCCAGTCAATGTCTCTTAAAATGGTAAGCAAATTATCTCAATTTAAAATGAGAAAATAAATGTTTTTTAACATATACCCACTTTACCCCATGTAACCTTTTTACTCCACCTGCCCCTAATCTAAGTGTAAAGTGTGAGTTTTTCCTCAAGTTTGTCTGCCATATTAAGTTTTTGGACCACTAAATGAATACCTAGATGGTCCTATTAGACCACTAAATTTTCATTGGTCGTGTAAACCCTAGTTATAAGTAAATGCTGTTTATATTAACTATTATGCAAACATTTCACTTGAGGATTATCATTTATTTAACATTTCATTACAGAATAATAACGTATCATTAGAAAAGTATGGCTGATGATCCAGACAGAGATATTATTCCTACGAAAGAAGTAAAACATTTGTCCCAAACTCAAGGTTAATTTCTTTTACTAATATACATTTAATCAACTGCCTTATTTCTATCTGTCTCTTATTAAAAACGAATTTATTTTTTACACATTCAGATAGCTTTGGGTATTGATATCTACATCAAAATAATTGAAGTTTTGATAATTTCAAGCAGTAGCTCCCAAGCGAATAACTGGAATAGTATAATTCACAGCCACCCTCGGGCAAACAACAACTTTTTTTTTAGGCAAATTAAAAAAGAAACTTTTTTCCACCTTCACGACTGTAGTAGGCTTGAATAGATATTGATATGGAAATATTTCCCTACATTCAAATCTTACGAATATGTATTCATTTATTGAAGCTGCTCTTTATACTACATCAACTTTTCATTCTCGGAGTATTACAATCTTGCTAATTTGTTAATAAATATGAAGAAAAAAAAACTTTTTTTAACCTATTTTGCTTGGCATTTAACCTATTACTTTTAATGCATTGTAAACTCAATAAAAATTTCCTTTTATAAGTTTCTTACTAAAAAAGTGTGTGGTATAAGTTAAACTTTTCCTAATTTTATTTTATAGTTAGGCTACTGAAGGGAGTTTGATAAAATTCTCTGATATGTCTTTTTGTGTTCATATCTTTTCATAAGACAACAACAGATGTTAAGCTATGTTGTTGAATTAGTTTAATTTGTTTTAATCTTGCATTTTGAATCTAAACAGCTTTAAAATTTACCAAAAATGTTTATTTTCTAGAATTTGCATTTGTAGGGCATTATTTACCTCTTATTTAAAAAAAGCATCTTAATAGTTACATTAGTAAAATGTATAGTTATACAATAGAAAAATGTATAGTTATAAAATTTTCAATTATACAATTACATAGTAATAAAATGGTTATACAATTATATTTATGCAATAAAATGTATAGTTATACAATTTAAACTTAAAATGAAGTTAAATACTATGTATTTATTCTATTTATAACATCTTTTCAATTTCTTTTAATACCATAACCAGGGGTCTGTCCAAGCCAAATTTACTACCATTTAGCGGTACCTTCACAAATTCAACTTTAGGAAAAACGGTATATTCAAAAAATAACTTTTTCTTAAATTTTTTTCTTTTTTGTCCATATTTTTGTGTTGATTTTTTAATATAATTTATAATTTTCTCAAATTATGTCTAAATTTTCACAAAATAGGTAGGTACCTCTCAGAAAAACCTAGACAGACCCCTGATAACACTAAATTAATTAAAATATTCTTAATATTATATATTATAGATGTATTCATATTATAAATCTAAACTATTTATTATAATTGATTTATGTAATATTGATTTATGTGTTATAGATTATAAACACTCTCCTGATAAAAAATTTGTCACCCATTTATCAAAAAATGATTTAGAAGATCAAGTTTATAAGTGCAAAGAAGAAAACTATGCACTCAAGAAGGCTGCCAAAAAACAGGAAGAAGATATAAAAAAGTAATGTTTTAATCTTTGTTTTGTGAATTGTTTTTAAATCGTAATTTTTTTATACATATTAGACAGCTTTTTAAAAGTTCTTAATAATTTTCATTAAAACTTTTTATAGCATATCAATGAAAAACATTGCATTCTGGTTTTAAAATTTAATCATTAAGTATTAGGTTATATCAGTAACTTATGCTTAACTTTTCAATGGTTAGCTTTTTTTTTTTTTTTTTTTTTTTTTTTTTTTTTTTATACTACCAAGCTCTACCTTAAAAAATTATTTCAAGCAAAGTTTTCTTTGATATCTTTTAACTTGGGTGAAAAAGAAAGATTTTTTTTGTTTGTTTGAATTGCTTTTTTTTTCATTCTAAATAATTTGTTAAATGTATCAAATATTGAAGATTTTTAAAGCTATTAAGTCTTAATTAGAGTTTTAAAGGCAGCATAAATTTATACTTATTTAGATGTAAATTCATATAAATATATAATAATTTTTGAACATTGACAAAATAGATTACTTTTTTGCACCAATAAAGATTATATAAATTGCATGTAAGAAATATTAATTAATGTTATGTATTAAATATTTTACTTAATTTATAGTATTCAAAATTTTTAAGCTCCAAAATATTGACATTGTTACGTGTACTGATAAGGAGAAAAATTTTTTTTAATTATTTATATGATTGTAAATANAAGAAATATTAATTAATGTTATGTATTAAATATTTTACTTAATTTATAGTATTCAAAATTTTTAAGCTCCAAAATATTGACATTGTTACGTGTACTGATAAAGAGAAAAAATTATTTTAATTATTTATATGATTGTAAATATAAATACAAGAAATTTTAAAAGCATCTAATCCATATCCTTTGTAAATTTTCACTTGTACTTGCATTGCTTTTAAAACAATTTTGCACCATTTTATTTGCTTATTAGCTTATATAATATAAGCTTGTTGAAAAAATTAAAGCATTTTATTCCTTCAGAATGATAATTAAATTGTTTGTTTTCACTTCTTTAAACTCCTTGAAAAGCAAGACAAATAATTTTAATCACTGTTTTTACCTTATTGGTTTAAGTCTATGATTCTTTTTGATCAAGTTGAGTGATTAAAGTGGCTGATTTGATTTAAATCATTAAGGTGTACTCAGAAAGTTTTAACTCAATTAATAATAGGCCAGTTATTTTGCTAATTTTAGTTATTTTATTTTTTTCTTCCTTGTAATAATTTAGTATGACTGTATATACAGGGTATCCGCGCACCTGGAAAGTCAGGAAAAATCATGGAAAGTCATGAATTTCGGTATTGAGCAAAATTTGTCATGAAATGTCATGATTTTAACTATTTTTTAAAAAAAATCATGAAAAGTCATGGAGTTAGGTCACCGAAAAATTTCATTTTAGAATGGGATTCCTCTGCTCCCCCCCCCCCTATCATGGTGTTCCGAATATCTGAATTTGTAACAAAATCCCCACTCAGAGTCATATTTTATTAAAATATAAAATGTTTTTATCATGTTCTTTAAAAATTATGGTGTTCTTTCAAAAAATTAAAGAAAAAATATCATTTCTAGAGTGAAGTATGTTTTAAACTTCTGTGATTTCAGAATTATTATTATTTTTTATTTATTATTTTTATTTTATCAATTTAAAATTCTAGCTTAAGCAAGCTAGTCACTTGCAAATTTTTTTAACTCTGAAATGAGAATAGAAAAAACAGGAGTATTTCTTTCCTTTCTGATGAACAAGAAAATTACCTTTAGAATAAAATTCTGCAGGAAAAAAAATTATTTGCTCAGCTATTATTTTTTCAGCTATTTTATTGCTTCAACTCTTTCTCAACTCTGTTTTTTGAATTTAAAATCAATAAATATGAAGATGCAGAGTAAAACAGTTTTGGTTATACCTATCATTTCAATGAATGTTATTAGAACATTTTTGAAATTTATTATTCTGTTTTTGTCGGAGAAAATAGTAACCTCAATAAGTCATGAAAAGTTCTTGGAATTAGTCATGGAAAGTCATGAATTTGAAAATCTAAAATGTAGCAGATACCCTGTATATATTATAAAGAAATCTTCTTTTCATTTATTTATTTTTTCTTTCTAGATTGACTACTAAATTGAACCGTTTAACACGGGAAAAGAAAAGCATTGACTCTATGAATAGTCCAGGTATTTTGATTTTGTTTGTTTTACTAATATATTTTTTTAAGAGAAAAATGAAGTTAAGAAGAATTAATTTTAAATAATTTCTGCATCTAATGCTCATTGAATTTATCAGCATCAAAGGAATTACATTGTTCATACATTATTATCGCGACATGCAAAATTCAATTCATTCATTTGTTTGTCACTTTTTTACACGAGTATACCACTGTTTTTTCCATAATTTTTTTCACAGTTATTGCTGCTGATATCCACATGGTTTTTTAAATTACAATATTATTATGAAACGAATTTGAATCACTAATTTCAGCCATCACTTTTTTACTCATTCAATGTTTGCTAAATCTGGGCTTTGTTTTGATAGATTTTTGCTGTTAATGCTGTTGATTTTCATATGATTTTTGTAAATCTCGATGTTATTATGATCGCACCTCGTATTTTGCACCTGAGTATTCACTATTCGATGTGATGATTTTTTTCAATGAATTATCAGGTAGAAATTACTACTAATCTTCGCATATTTTTTCAAATCTCGATGTTTTGAATCTCGATAGGTATGTGAGCCTTGGTAAGTATATGTTAGCTAACCCCTTCCTGGCGTATCCAATTCATGTGATTTCATTGTAAATGCATTTTTGTTTTATCTTTAATCTTTTTTCCGTTATTGCGGTAAATTTCAGTTTTTATTATTTTTAAGCCATAACGACTTGTAAAGTGCAGGAGAAGGGGAACTTGTAGTTTTTTTAAACATATTTTCTTTTGTGTATGCACAAAAATGACAATTGCTATTTATCTTCCTTGTACAAAAAGGTTTTTAAAAAATTAAATTCCAAAAAAAAAGCTACATTAAAAAAAAAATTCTACTAATTTCTTTTTCCAGCAATCACATATCTGCAATTACTAATAAAATTTAAAAAAATTTTAGATAAGGAAATTTATGCAGTAGAGCAGCAATTATTTATGTTATCTGGTTTTAAATAAATTAATAATTAAAATTTAATTTCTCAGAAACAGTTTATATTTATTTGATGGTATTTTTTACTTTGAAAAAAATTCTTTTTGAAAATAATTTTTAATATTATTGCAGGATATTTAGTAATCATAAAAATTAAATTAAGATTTTTAAATTGTTGCTTTAAAATATATTTTTTTGATTTCAGTGCTACATTAAAATAATCCTTATAGCTGAATTTTAGTTATTAGTTTTTAAAGTTAAAAACTAAGCAGTTTAAAACTAATTAGGTTTCATTAAATTTCAAATAATATAATTTTAGAAATACTTATGTGAATACACTGTTTCATCAAATTACTCATTTTTAGAATGTTTATTTAAAATAGAAAATTTATGTTTAATTTGTGATTGGGCTCTAATTTAAACATTTATGTTTAGTATTCTTGAATTCAAAACTAAAGCATGCTTTATAAAATAGGCCACAAACGAGATCTTGAATTAGAAGAATTGGTTGAAGACCTTCAAGATAAAGTTCGTCAGTTGGAAAGATCTAATAATCAATGGAGAGAAAAGGTATATTTTTTCTTTTGAAAATAATGCAATTCAATATACAATGTTGTATAATTTATAAAAACGTCAATGCATGATTTCTATTATCAGCTGTTAATAAAATAATTGTATATATCTTTAATTTTATATATATATATATATATATATATATATATAAAAAGACTAACTTAAAAAGATTAATATTATTTGTAAAAATACTCTAGTCTCATGCTTTAAGATAGAACATGGAAATACCTCGTAGAATATATTTGTTTTACTTTGTTAAAAAAATTTTGATGTAATCAGTTTCAGAAGATACAATTGCTATTTTTTTTTTAGTATTATTTATTATAATTTTTTTACAAAAGATACATTTACCTACAGTCCTTAAGATTTTGTATTACTGCATTGACAGCAAAAAATGAATATTCTTTTGAACTCTGAGATTCTTTATTTATATTTCCTTACTTTATGCAAGCATGTTTTTAATACATTACTTACTTTTCAATTTGTAATTAGCTTAAAAGGGACCATTACTATATAATTAGATAAAATGTGCTTACATTTTTACTCTCATATTTTGAATTTCAAAAAAAAAAGTAATAAATAAACAAAATAAAAATTTTTACTGTAGGCCCAGTTTTACTGGCGTTAACTTTTATTGTCTTAAACTGGTTTGAGCAGATAGTATGAATTTTTAAAATTTCTATATCCTCTATAAAAAATTCATAATTTTTTTCTGTACAGAAACTTGGTATATTTTTATGGCAATTTTCAGGGATTATTCATATGTTAAAATAAACATAAAATGTAATTTAAAGTAATATAAAATCCAGCAAAATGGAAAAATTATTTTCAATCTCTTAACATTGATCTCACGGTCATGGACTGTAAAAACTCCTTGGCTGTCAGAAAAACCTATAATGTTAACATTTTTCAATTCATTAGAGAGAAACGTAAGTTATATTGATAAGAACATGAAATTAAATATACTTCCATTATTCATTTCATAAGAAATGCAACTAGATAGAATGCTTGTATCTTTCAAAAACTCTTTTAGCTTGCATTCTAGTTACATTTTTCCTAGTTCCTAAATTTATTTCTTTATTGTGCTACCTTAACTAAACTTCATTACTAAATATAATCATGTTTCCATCAACTCAAGTACTCCAATAAAAAACTGGAAATATTAAAAGAAAAATTCTGAAAATGATGTAAGTTTTGATCAAAATCTGGAAAAATCTTGCAATAAACCTGGAAAATTACCAATTTCAAAATTGACTCCAACAGAAGGCCACCAATAAGGTTCCATGATTGCAAATATTAATGCCTTTTATTTTTTTTTTATTGTGATACAAGTAATAAGATTTGAAGAGGGAGTCATGGAAATGTCATAGAATGATTTAATTTGTAGTCAAAACTTGCAAAAATCTTTCAATTAATTTGGAAATAACCAATTTCTAAATGGACAGTAATAATAAGTTACCATCGAATCCCGAAGTGAATAAAGTCAAACATCTATTCTTTTATTACTTGTAAAATTGCTACAATGTGTGTGTGTGTGTTTTTTTTTTTTAATTATTAAAATATGCATTAATTTAGGAAATATAATCATAGCCTAACTTTCTAGTTTTAAATTGTTCTTTTATGGAGCAATATTTGCAGTTCAGTAATACTAAGTTTTTTTTTTAAAAAAAATTAAGCTTTCTATATAAATTAAAGTTAGTTTTTAAATGATGTCTGAGTATATAACTGATGTTACTTGATTATTGAACTGTGCTTCATTTAGTTTTTAAATGTTTATGTGCAAAATATTGTTTCTATCTATAATTTATATACTTGCATATTTTGAAATCTGAAATCTGCATGTTAAACTTCCCCTTGAGGAATTTTTGTTTCTTTACAAAATTGATTATTGGTTAAGTAAAGTATTATAAGGTAAAGCAAAATGCAATCTGAAATTTGGTTGAAATTTCCTTGAAAAACCTGGAAAGGTTATTTATCATTGAAAAGGCAACATCAGTTAAAGAAAACTAACTTCAACAAGAGAAATAAACTATGAATAATAATAAATATTGTTTTTAAAAAACACATAACAGAGATAGCAGGTGTTTTAATTATAATTTCTTACTTTAAAAAGTCTACTTTTTATCTAAATATCTACTCTAATTCTTCATATCAAATAAAAAAAATAGAGGGGGGAAATGTGTCTTTATTCATGAAAAAGAAAGTTCAACTTGTACTCTGATCTTACTTGATAACAAAGCGTTTTTGTAAGTAAATTGAGGTTGAGTATTGATTATTTATCATTTTTTTATTTAACGATGTATGTTGTAATCTTTGTCCAGCTGAAAAATCTATTTTTGAAAAAAATCTCTGGACTTACTGTCTATATAACCATTTTTATTTTAGGCACTAGTTGCAAAACAGCAAGTAATCCTGCAAAATAGACGACCAAATCCATATAATCATGTTCCTCCTAGAGTTAATTCAGTATGTATACTTTTTAACATCTATATCTTTCAAATTTTAACTTATGTAAAATTCTACTATGAATAAATTTATCTTGTAATAATCTTTTTATATTATTTCTTAGTTCATTTTTGCAGTTTATTCTGTATTTTTTGTAAAAGTAGTGTAAGCACAACAATTTTAAAATTATTTATTATTAAAATTTTAAAATTAGGCTATGATGTTGAACATGGGTATTCATAAACTCAAAAATTGAGTCAACTGTTCAACGACAGTGAGAAAATAAAATAAAATGTTTTAAAAGATTTTATAAAAAGTGGGTTTGAGAATATATGTATAATTTGTAATTGTCTTAAATTTTAGAACCTTTATCAATGAAATTTCATTATATTAAATATGTAAATTATCTATCTACTCGTAATCTTTATGTAACTTGGTTTATTCATTGTCCACTCTTAGCTCTTCTTAATTCATTCTTGGCTCTTTATTTTATTGTATGCTGTGAACATAATAACACTCTTATGAATATTCTAAAAATTGTTAGCATAAAATAATGATTATCATTTATTTTGCAGGGAGTTTACAAATCGATGTCCTCTCCTTATATATCCTCCATGAGCGTTCGAGGGAAAAATCAAATTCTGCAAAATGCAATTAAGTAAGCATTTTTATTGATTTTTGTTTCAAATATTTTTATTTTTATCATATTTTTTTAACAAAAAACTGCATAACTTTTTTGTAATTGATTTTAAAGTGTGTTGTTATTATCATTTTAAGACAAAGCTTAATATTACAGTCAAATATCAATATCTCAAAAATGAAGGGAGAGAAGAAAAATTTGAAATATCTAAAATCCACATTATCAAAAATCAGAAGTAGAAGAAAGATATGTGACTTTTGCTTGACTTTTTCTTACATAGTTTTTTTACAGTGAGCACTGCAAATAATGCTTTACATTTTTGAATCGTTAAAAATTTACTGCTTAAAATCTTGAACTCTTTTACAATTTCTATTTGCTTCTTGTGCCTTTAACCACTTCTTTGGTAATTTGCTTCTTCACTTCAATGATAAGAGTATTCAATTTTCTTTTGTTAGACATTTCACACAATTGACACACAGAAGACTTCATCTTCTTAAAATGTTATTATAGAGTGAGTTTTAACTTTTGCAGGGGTGGTACTGGATAGCTTGAATGCAAGGAGGCACAGGCATGCATTTACTTGTTGGTTGTTGTTTTTTTCATCTATCCTTCTAACAGTTAGGAAAATAAGAAATTTTTCATCAAAACCACCCAGGATGATTTCCTTTTAACAAACATTAGATTAATCAATTCTAAGCCATCACCTGTTTGTTTCTTCCTTAACTGTCGCCCCTCCCAGAGCTCTTTAGAATAAGAAGTGATAGTAAAGATGAGTGATCACTGCATATGTCTTGCAACTACCTGATGACTGATATGGTTTTGACAAATAACTTTTTACCCTAAAAATTTAGTATTTGTTATGCTCTTTAAAATCATAACATACCTTAATTTTTAAATTCATGCAGCTTTTTCCTAACATATTTTTGAATGGGTTTTTTTTTCTGTTTCCTGGATTTTTTTTAATATTTGTTGAATAAATTCAAGTAAGCAAGGTATATTTTTCGAAACTGGGTTTTTTTTTCAGCATGAAGTAGAAAATTTTTTCATGTTATTGAAAAATTTGTGAAACCAGGGTTGATTTAGCAAGGTTTGACTGTTACATCCTTTATGTAGTAATTTTTTTTAATATTGCTGAAATTTTCCTTTTCAATAGTTATTGTTGTGGTATTTTTTTAATAATAAATATTTCTAAAAGTTGCTGTTTTATATGCTTTTTTTTAAAATTTTATTAGTTTATAAGGCTATTTGCCGAATTAGAATATTCACGTTAACCAGTGGCATGTTATAGCATAACTGTTAAATGCTTTCTTATTTCAATAGTGTAATTGTTTTGTTAAAATATTTTGTCTAATGCCATTTTTTGTTATATTTTTAACATGTTTAAATTAGTTTATTTAACATGTGATTTTAATTTTTTTTTACTTTTAACTTAAAAAATGTTGTGATAGGTCTTCTCTCTGTTTCTATTATTAAAGTTTTTAATAATAATTTAATTAATAATAGTAAAGTTACATGAAAAGTATCTTTGCTTAGAATATTTTAAAAGAATCAACATCATCCCAGATAGCAAAATAATGTTTATTTTCTCTCAACATTTACCTTTTAATGTAAACCTAAAAAGGTTTATAATACGGTTTACGTGTAAACCTTCTAACCTTACAACGAGATCTGTGACAATCTGCTCTTATCGAATTCCAAAACCTTCCATTACCTTAATCCAAAACCTTGGAAAACAACCTTCTATATAAAAATTTTGATTCCAGGTTGGTTTAGGGCTTTTAAGCGTGAAAAAAATCTATTAATAAATCTAGTCTCAAAGTGAAAATAATCTTAAATCTAGATAATTATAGGGTTTCTTTTCCCAAAGTCTTGTATGCTCAGCTAAAATCCGCCTTGTCGTGAAATTGTAATGGACAATGCAATTGGATCCTATCGTTCGTGTGACGTCAGCTAAAACGTCATTACGTACCTAAGGGACAATACTTTTTTTTTAAAAAAAAATTTAACAAAATAATTTTTAATTCTTTTAGGATGAAAGGTTTGAAACTGCAATATTTTTGCTTTATTGAAGAAAGGGTTTTAGTACAAACATTTTCGTGACAATAAAAAGAAAATTCCGACGCATATTTGCCGTAAGGTTACATGCTTTCTGCGGTACTAACAAGCATGATAATTTTCATCGTATCTTGCTGAAAAAGAACACATTAAAAGTAATTTTTTAAAAAAAGGATGCAAATAGTTTAGAAAAATTATATGCAGTTTATTATTTTTTTAATTAATTATAAATTATGAAAATATCCCATCATTATCTAACTGTTCCAGTCATGAATGTGTGAATCAGTTTTTAAATGAAATAATAAAAAATTTAATGTTGTAATTTATAGTACAATAGTTGGTGATGTTTATATTTATATATTTTATCTAATGACACATTTTTTCTTCATAATATATTTCTTTTACAGAAAACCAACTTCAACACCGATACCGCCTTTTGCAATGAATTTATTAGAAGAAGCCAGAAATGAATTATCAAATTTGTATGATTATTTTCTTTCTATTTGTAGTCAAGTTAATTTTTTTTTTGAAATTTTTTTTCTTCTAATTTTTGCAATGTGTTAAAACTAAACTCAGCGGCGCGGCAGCCCTTGAGGGCCAAGGCCTACTGTGACCATCTCAGTTTTCTTGGGCTCTGGGATGCAGGAGCAGATGTTCCAGTCAGGGGGTCAGCTGAACGTGGAACCCCCAGTGTTTAGTTCCCAAGCATGCTTGGTACTCATTTATCGACCCACTGAAGGGATGACAGTCTGAGTCAGCCTTGCCCGGCCCGAGGATTGAACCAGGGACCTGTGGCACGACAGCGCGAAGCGCTACCGCTTAGCCACCGGGTGTCTTTGCAATGTGTTGCTGAGTTTAAAAAAAAGAGTATAATAGTTTTGTTATAATGTTGCACTTTTAAAACAATTTTTAGAGTATTTTATTATATTAAAAAAGAAGGGCTCTTATTCTTTTCTAATTTTAACCTTCTTGTATATTTCATAGTACAAGTAGACACTATATTCATATTCTTCTTAAGAATTCATTCTACAAATGTCATTCATGTAATTTTTTTTTTATTCAGATGGTTCAATATTTGTTTCTTTTTAGTTCTTGTTTCTTTTCATTTCAATTGCTACATCTAAAAAAAATATTTTGTTCAATCCTCACTTTAGTGAATATCCTCAATCCTCACTTATATGCTGAAGTCAAAAATAAATTACTAAAAATTAATTCTAAAAAGATTATTTATTTGCTGAAAAGATTACAAAACAGTTTGTTTATAAAAATCTCCAGAATTTGCATGTAAACCTTGCAATCATCACAAACTCATTAAAAATTGTTTTCAAAAAACATTGTGTTGTCATACAGGCACACACAAACAACTTCTACGACTGTGTTTCAAAAAAAAATGAAAAAACAAGGGAGTTGAAAAAAATAGGTTTGGCGAGAAAACTTCCTATTTAAGTTGGCACAAAATTGATATAACTGAAATACTGGTTGACATGGAAGTGTATGTGTGTCCAATAAGATTTGGGTAAAAAAGTTTAACTAGCTAAACTTGGCATGCATGAAATGGAGAGGAAGAGGCCAAAAAGGGGTTCAAAGTCTACAAGACATAAACTACAAATCGAATGTTCTAGAACCAATGAATTATGCTGATACAAGAACTAGTTACTTGAAGTTCACGGAATGGCATTTGAGGTTTTAGCAGCCTAATGACAGCAGGTTTAACAGGTTAATGGAAGGAATTCCGTATGCAATGAATTTGTACAAGCATATGTGAAGCATATGGACGTTCCCATATGAAAGGAGTTTTAAGTATGAGTGAAAGCCAAGAAAAACACGCTTGAAAGTTTTACCGTTTACGAAAAAGAAACAATAGGAATAACATTGTGAAAATGATAATGTAGTTCAACAATCAACAAATAAAGAAAATTAAAAATTAAGCCAAGTAAATATCAATCATTCAAAATAAATATTATAAGTGTTCTAATAAGTGATAGTAACAAATATTTTAAAAAATATTATTAATCAATGTATTGTGAAAATGAGATATTTAAAAATGGTTAAATTAAAACACCAGAAGCAAATTACTCGTAATTGATCACATGAATTATGTATTATGATAGTATTTAAATTAATATAATTCTACTCAAATAATTAACAGTTTTTAATTTCTTTAAATATTCTGTATTGAAAGTAATAAAATTAGATCAATGCAATTAATTACTGATATATTAGTAGAGCATGTTATACCTGGATTTGCAATAAGGTTAAAAAATAAAAATATGCTTATTGACAAAATAAATACAAATTACATGTGCAATAAACATTTCCATAATTAATGATTCGGTAATAATCTGCTAAATTATCTGATAATCATAAAAAACAGCTATTTTTTAATTTTTGTGAGTAAAATGTTAACTAATTCTAATAAAGCACTTGAAATTAGTTTACTAAATAATGCTGCCTTTAATTTTTCATTGACTACTAAAAACTTTTGCTGGTGCTAAATTAAATGACATTATATTTTGATATAATTTAAAAGTAATTTACCAAAATATTGTAAAGAATTTTAGATTAATAATCTTATGTTGTCTTACTCAAATGTTCCTTTTTGTTATTATTAATGTGTAATCAGAATTTGTCTTTGATAGCATGTATTTTTTTAGTTATTTAAAATTAAATAGCAATCTAAGTAGATTTTTAAACAAAATAGATAGAATTACGCTTTTAAAAATGAAAACAAAATGTTACAAATAATTTTTTCTTTGTTTATTTTTAGAAAAATGTTGATGTCTAGTCAAAAATCAGAAATTGAAATGTATGAACAAGAAAATGACATTCTCAAGCAAAAGGTAATTCTTTATGTGTGCACATTACAAACAGTTTTAACTAATAAAATGAATTTGGCTGAAGCTTGCTATCAGCAGTTATTTACCTCTATTTTTTTTAAAATTAAATCAGCACTTTCTGTAACATTGTCTAAATGTATAAAGCTAGATTTTTTTAATTGAATACCAAAGTTTTCATTATTGGTTCTTAATTTAGTTTTTATCAACTGTGATTACTCCTTTTTATCGAATACTTTAAATTTTGCCAAGAATGTATTGATTATTTTGCTATGGTTAAATAAATGTCATGCGATGTGTTGAATTTACATAGTGTTAGCTCAAAATATTGGTTGTGCTTTGTGTTTCTATTTTTGCTGTTAACAAGTTGGTAACTATGAATGTTTTTGAATCTGACTCAGATGATGTATTGGAATCTTTAAATTTGTTGCTTAAAAAGTTTTCATTGTGTAAAGAGTTTTCTAAAATACTCTTGAATAAGTTTTAACTTTTCTTATTCTTAATTTTTTTCTGAACATAATTGAAAGTATTATTTCTAAAAGAAAACCTTTATTTTTAAAGAAAATGCATTGAGAGAATATGCAAAATTAATTGAATATAACATATTAAAAATATTTTTTGACAGGAAAAATTGATAGTTATTCTATCTTATTATTTATAATGCATCAATATTTCACGAATTTTCTGTTTTATACCGGGTCATATGGTAATAATTTAAAGAAATTTATGACAATCAAATAGCAAATTCTAACTATGTATTATTCCAATCAAATTTTAGTAAATAGTATTTGAAAATTTATATCAGACATACAATCAAAAGGAGTTTAATATTCTGGTAGATTATTCATTCTGAACTTTTTAAACTCAATGATTTTGCATGTATCTGATCCTTTTTGCAATATCAAAATGTTTAGATTGAAGAAAAAACTAATAAATTATAACTTTTGACAAAGAAAAATTGGTCTTCTCTCTTAAACTGTATACGAAAGTTTTTTATATCTTAACAGTTTTTATTTTTGTAATGTTATGCTTTCATTTTTACTTCAATTTTAGATGAGAATGCGAGAAATAGAATTTGAAGATGAAATTAATTCATTAAAATCCCAGTTAACTCAACGACAAAGGTAATTAAATAAACCTTCTTTTCTTTTAAAAAAAATCTTCATGGCATTATTTATTTTTCAACTGTTAATAATTAGATGAATCCAAGAATTATACAATGAATTAAACTGCACTTGTAGAATTTGCTTCTTTTTTTTTAGAATTTGTTTTGTAACATTAAAATTTTATTGATTTATTATATTTCTTTAGTATTATTTTAAATTATTATATTAAGTATTTTTATTTATATTTAAAGTTAAAATAAAAAGCATGTGAAATTCGTTCTTTGATTTTTCAGGCAGCATGTGCAAGAAAATTTAGACCTGATTAGGTTACATCGAGAAATTCAGCAGAAAAATTCCAAAATTGTAAGCATCCAAACACAATATGGTGACTTAGAAGAGGTAATGTCCTTTCTGTGTAATTTGCCTTTTTTTTTACCTCTTAGTTAGTTGAATCAAATTTAATTTGATTCAACAAATTTATTTTAAACCATGATGAATATTTCAAGAACAGTTTTATTTTAGTATTCTGTTCATAAAAATAAAATTTAAATATTTGCCTTTTTTTTCTATCTATTTTTACAAAATGTTTTTCTTCAGTTATGTAACATTTGGGTAGATCTTTTTTATTTCCTCTTTTTTTAAGTAAATTAAATTTCATTTCATTTTGAAGAAGAATCAACTTTTCTGTTATCTGATATGAATAACTTATTTTAATTATTTATTTTTGTATTCATTGTTTAAAATTGTTTTAAATTCAGATAATAGCTTTTTATACTTCTAATCACATTGCAAATATTCTTGTTTAATCATGTTAAAATAATCGCAGAACTGGAAAGATCATAGGATTTAAACTAAAATGACCAAAAAATTTTAGAGAAGGAATAAATTTAAATTGGACACACCTAAAAAATGCATGATTTTTTTTTTTTACACATAAACATTTTTTTAATTATGTAACATTTGCATAAATCTTTTTGTTGTTACCCCTTTTTTCAGTAAATTTAATTTAATTTCATTTAGAAAAAGAATCAACTTCTCTTTAGGAATCTGATATAAATAAATATTATTTCACTTATTTATTTCTATGTTCATTGTTTAAAGTTATTTGAAATTTTGATTACATCTTTTCATACTTCCAACTTTATTGCAAATATTCTTGTTTAATCATGTTAGAGTGATCACAGATTAGGGAAGATCTGGATTTTAACTTAAATGCCCAAAAAATTTTAGCAAAAGAATTCATTTGAATAAGAGATACCTAAAAGACTCATGTTTTTTTTTTTTCAAAAAAGAAGAATCCTGTGAATTTGTGTGTTTTTATATCTTAGGACCAGGGGCTTCCAATTTTTTTTCGACTTTAAAACCCTAAACGGTCTACCTTCTTTAGGGGAACCGCAAAACTTAGAAGAAATTTCATTAACAATTGCAAAACATATTATTCAACTAACGACCATTATTTATTTTATTTAGTTTTAGATTAGTTAAAATTTTACTCATTATTTTGAAAACATTTAATGAATGAATGAAATTCTTTAATCTTGTAGTTTTAACAATGCTAGTATTAAAACTGGGTTTTATGTTGGACAGTTGAATTTACAGACCTAAAGGGGAATTTACCCCTTTAGGTCTCACTACCGTTTACCTTTAAGCGCTACCGCTCAGCCACCGGGGAGACGCCACAAGTCCCTGGTTCGATCCTGGGGCCGGGCAAGGTTGACTCAGCCTTTCATCTCTTCAGTGGGTCGATAAATGAGTACCAAGCATGCTTGGGAACTAAACACTGGGGGTTCCGCGTTCGGCTGACCACCTGACCGCAACATCTGCTCATGCACCCCAGAGCCCAAGGTCAAGAAAACTTGGGTGGGCACAGAAGGCCTTGGCCCTTTAGGGGCTATCGCGCCACTGAGTTTAGTTTTAAAGGGGAATATAGTCTAGTTTATAATTTGATCTTATCATATGTGTAAACTGAAAGTTAATGAGCAGAAATGCGGTTTTCATTTAAATTAAAGGGGGTGAAAGAAAAGGTTGAGAATAGTTTTTTCAAATCAGTATTAAATAACTAAAAGAAAATAATTTGGATATAAATTTTATTACAGTGTTTTTAACTAATACCAGGGTTGCCACAGGCTACTAAAATGCGACTATTTGCTACTATTTTCGGCCTTAGGCGACTATGGCTACTTTTTTTGCCTCAAAAGGCTAAAAAAAAGCAACTATTTTCAGGAATAGGCGACTATTGGGAGACTTTTTTACTCTTAGCGAAGTTATTTTTCTACTTATTTTTCATAGACCTACTGTTACTTTGCGATTGCTGCACAATCGCTGTTATCTTAAACTTTCGTTCTGAACTCAATAGATCAATGAAAAGAAAATATAAATTAAAAAAGTTTCTTCATTGTTTTTTTTTTCAATTATTATTTTTCATTTTAAGCGATACAATTTACTAGGGGTATTTTGTACTTAATTTTGTTATAAAAAGTTAGTTTTTTTCGAATTTATTTAATATAGGTGAGTATAATAATTTGATTATTTTTAAACCAATAAATATTCAGTTGTTTTTATTTATAAAGAAATTAAAATAAAGCTTACCTTTATTTAATTTGCTTTTATTTTTGAGAAACTGAAAACAAAGTTTTAAAGAAATTTGGCTATTAGTTAAAAAACAAAAATTTTTTAAAAAATTAAATAAAGAGTTTAAGTTTGGACTCTTTTTAATAATTTAACATTAGTACTTAAAGTATTTTTTTTTTAATTTTATTAAAATTCTTTCAATACTTGTTTGTTTTATAATTTGTTTGATAGTCAGTGTCATTTTTAAAGAAATAAATCTTTAGTCAATTTTATTTTCAAAAACGAAAACAATAATAAATAAGTAAAAATATTTTTGCACTTCAGTACAGAATTTGACCATTAGTTAATACTACTTTATATAATTTTAAATAATTGAATAGAAGAGGGTCTAATGATGTTTCAAAAGCAAGGTTTTTTTTCCGACAAATAATTTTAAAAAAACATTTTTTTTTCGAAAGTGAACATTTCTTCGGTTTGTTTTCTACTNATGTAAAAAAAATAACATTTTGAATAAAATATTTTATAATATAGACACTTTTCTTGTACACATCCTATACTTTATAAGAAAAAAGAAACAAAAACCTGGAAATTTTAAGATTTTTATCTGGAAAACCTGGAAAAATCAGGGAAATTTGAAATCTGATTTGAGTGGCCACCCTGCTAACGGACGATGTATCACGATTTAAACCATACCAGTCACGATTCAACCAGTTCTTATCATAGTATTTGACAATTAAGCTACAATATTAATTATTTAGCTACTATTTTTGATAAATTTTTGCTCCTGTTCAGGCAACTATTTTTATAGTTTTAAGCAACTATTTTCATGCTTGAGGCTACTAAAAGCAACTATTTTTGTTCTTTTTTTACTGTGGCAACCCTGTAATAATGTTGTCCTCAGACTCGGAACTCCTCTGACCTTTCCAGGGAATACTATTTAGGAACCGCTGTTTGTTTAATTTATTTTAAACATGTTTGTTTAATTTATTCGTGTAATAATTTTCGACTTAAATAGAAAGTATTGTTTTGTAAGTGTAAATGAGAAGAATTGAAAAAAATGATGATTAAATTATGTTCTTAGTTCACAATCAGGGAAATTCTTTAAAGTCAGCTTTTTTTTAAATCTCCATTTCAGAAGCTAAAGCTTTTTACATTAAAGCATGATCATATGGTCAAAGACTTGGAGGACTTAGAGCTGAGATTCCAAGCTGAGCAAACAAAGAATATGAATCTTACAAGTGAACTGCAAAAAGCTGAAGCTAATATTTCTGCTTCCATGGAGGTGATTAACTTGTTTACTTATTTGTATTTTAAAACTTAAGCAACAAAGAAATTTAAAATATAAATTTTCAGATATATTTTGTTGCACTAATAATTTTAACTAACAAAATTTTATTGATTGAAAATGATTTATCTAAATTTTCCTTAGTGCTGTAACAGTACTTATTAATTTGAGAATAGCTTGATGTTGATAAAACTTATATCATTTAAGTAAATCATCTTTTTCTCTATCTTAGCATTATTCTTTTATTGATTTGGTAGGAATTTTTTTAATGGCCTAGTATGAAGTAGATTAATTCTTTTTTATGTTATTATTAAGATATAACAAAAACACAGTACATTAATACAATAAAAAATATTTTTACTGTCCATCTTCTACAATAATTTTTATTATTAATTATCAAAATTCAGCAGACATGATTTTTTGTTCAAAATCAATAGGCATGAATCAGATGTATTTTTGTTTATGTTATTTTAAAGACTATTCAGTAAAAATATATTTAAAATGCATCCTTTACAAAAATTTTAATTATTAATTAATTATCATTATTTCCATGTATAAAAATGCTCATTTTCAAATGTTCAGTGTTAGGTTTTGCTTTTAGAATTTTAAAGAATGATTATGTTACTATAATTCTTAGAATATGGTTATATTTGTACTGATTTTAGAATATGATATTAATATGAATGTGGCTTTCTTTTTCAGCGTATTTTCCACACAGAAAATTTATTTGCTATATATACACTATAGCTGTTGTAAAATGTAACATGTAAACTTTGACTCAAGTTCCAATTGTTTAATCATGAAATGGAATACTAATTTTATGATTAAAAACTTGAATTAAATTAAAGCCAGTATACCATACCAGTTAAATCAAGTCAGATTTCAATAATAACTCAAAACTATGGTGGAAAACTGGCTATTTTTTTGTTAATCAAACTGAAAATTTCTATATCACAAAGTCTCAAAAGTTAGTGAACCCAAACAGTTTTTACAAATACAAGTAGCAGTTAACAGCCACAAATTAGTTAAATTGAACAAAATGGAAAGCTAAATCATATAAATTAATTTTCTACTTTTTATATTGTAACATCTTCAATCTATCCTTTTACTATGCCTTTCTTCTTCTAGCTTTTATTTTACAAACATCTTTATTTCTTTTAATACTACTTACCTGTATGTCAAGTAATGTAATTTTTTATTATAATTATATTACATTTCTTCTCCTGTTAACGTTTTATTTGTTGCTTTTTAACACACTTTAGCTGCAAGAAAAGATCAAGTCATTGTTGAAGGAAAACGATGTGCTACGGGAAACACATGATAAATTATTACAAAAGTATGTTATTTAATATTTTGAATAATAGCACTTAAAGTCTGTTCATTAATTAAAAAATAAAAAGAAAACTAGCAAATTTTTGTGCTTTTGAAACGCCTAGATTTTTAAATATCAAAGCATTATATGTCACATTCTCTTTTTTAAATTTAGTGTTATATTTACATTATGTAAGCTTGATAAACAAATAGATTTTGTTCTAGAAAAATAATTACTTTTCAGAAGACTGCTATCCCATAGTAGTACAGTATAGTATACAATGGGAAATGTTTAACGTTTTTATTTTTAAAAAAATTTATTACAGTAAAAGATCTAAATAAAGTTATTCTATAAACGACAATTTTCGGTTAACCACACTAGCTGCATATGCTGCAGAATGCATGTATACTGCAGTAGAATAAAATTTTTTTTGTCTTTAATAAATACGCAAGTGCCTACTTTGTATTAAGTATTTGTATCTAAAAAATTTAAAAAGATTGCTCTGTTCCAGTCTAATTTAGTAGGCAAGTTTAAAGTTGAGTGAAATGATCTGTATAACACAACATTCTATCAAAAGAAAAGCCCCTGCTTTCAAGGTTTAAATTATAAAGATCTTGATTAGCTTTTAAATTGTATGTTGCTTGAAAACAAGTGCTGTGTGAAAAAATTGCATTCTTGAAATTATTTTATCATAATTTGTGGGGGAAAAAACTAAAACAATACTAAATTAGAAAACTATGTACTTATCCGACAGCTAAGTGCGAGACGAAACTAAGCAAAAATTACCATTCTTTGCTATCAACAAATCAGCTGGTTTTTTATTTAAACATGGTGGATCTTTTTATTTTCATTATATTTACTTTGGTCAAATAAAATGCAATAAAAAGAAAAAAAATTTAAAAGGTAAATCTTGTTAAAGGTTTTACTTCTAACATGTTTAAGATAATTAAAATTAGTTTTAAATATTCTTCGTTTATTAATGTTTTAAAAATTTCTTATTCACTTTGGTACAAGGAATTTCACCTGTACTCAGCTATGATTAAGTGTCAAAAATAGTTTTGAAAATAAGTTATTTAAAAATTGTTTGTTCATTAAGTTTTATTTTACTAATAATGACTCTATGAGATTATGATGAAAATGTTTTTAATTAATAATACCATTTGATTATTAAAAATTCTTACTTAGCTACAAAGTCAGTTTCAATGTTTGAAGTATTCAATAACCACACGCATTCCACTTTGTGATATTGTGGTGATAATGTTCCACATTGTAATAAAATATAATAAAAAACATGGCTGTGTTAAGTAGTTAAAGGCAAAACATGAGTAGATATATTTTTATCTTTATATCTCTTAACTACATTTTAATTTAATGAAATGTCACAAGTTTTTATAAATTTAAATAATTTCACCTCAATTTTTTTAAGTAATGTGTTCACAAAGTTAACCGTATTAATAAGAATACTTTTGAATGTTTAAGTATGCAGTGAGTTTTTTCATCATTTGTTACAGTAATGTTGTTTTAAACGCAATACGAATAAAGAGATGCGAGTGGTGTGAATATTGTATGAAAGGAGGTGTAAATATATGCTGGGTGTTTTTATACTTTATGAATTTATTCAAAAATAAAATATTACTTCTGGCATAGATATCAAATAGTTTTTATAAAGCATTTTGCTAAGTCATTAATGTGATATTTTTTTCTAGTGCTCTGGTTATTGAAAAAAATAAATCTTTTAATCAAATTGAAGAAATATTAAAAGGAAAGATCACCAATTTAGAATCCATGTTAGAAATTCAATTAAAAGCCAAAAGTATTGCTGAAGAAGAATTAAATAAAGAGAAAGGTTAGTAAATCTGGTTACAAAATAATGTAATGATATTATAATGATGATTATATATAAATGAACTTATGACATGTTGCTAAAGCAATAAATTTTTCTTTAGTTCGATATTAATTATTGAATGTGTATGATGCAGTGGTTAAGACATTGAGCTGTCATTTTGTTGGACCAAGGTTTCTACCCTTGTTGGAAACTTGAAACATATTTTCATTAGTTATAAAAAAAGGGCATGATAGTTCCTCACAGAAAAGGGCACTTTGAGTAATTGAATTACTAATTGAGGAACAAATTAATAATTGAATTTGTCCCTCAACAATTTTTAAATTATCCTCTTATACTATTTTTTGTGTATATATTTCAAAAAGTAATTATCACGCATTATCGAAATAAGAAGAAAAAACTTCACTACTTGACTTCAAATGGGTGCCAGCTTGTCGGGGAAGTAAAGGCAGTTTATGCTCAATTCTGACCACCTTTCCGCCATCATGCCCTTTACTGAAATTATGGAGTTTTAAGATTTATAACTCCCTTGGCCAACAATGGCTGTCGTGAGAGTGGTTTACTTTATTTTTATGATTTATTTATTTTCAGAAAAAGGTTTATTATATATCAGATTTTTATACTACATGACACTTGTATATATTTTTTTTTTTTTTTTTTTTTTTTTTGTCAAACCAGTAATTTTTTTCCCCTTTAATTTTTTTTTTTCATGTTGCATTTGTTGTCTTTAAATAAACACAGATTCCTTATGCCAAAATTATGTTTAATCATTTTTTCCCTCTTATTTAACTATTGTTTATTTATTTCTATTTTGGACTTAGTTTATAGTGATGTTGAGTCAGTTTATCTGGACTGTTCAATGTCATTTTTGTTTGGCATACAACAGCAGATTCTAATTCCTGTTTCATTAAACTATGCATTCATTCCAATTCATACTTTTTTGAGAGTTTGTAGCTATTTTTTTTAAAGTTACGAAAGTTATTGTAATTACTTTAATGATGATATTTAATAATGATATTTAAATATATTTCATAGTAAAGTAATATCCCTATTTCTTCCCGGAATATCCATTTTTTGCCTTTTAATTGGGCTCTTATTGCAAGTCTAGAAGAAGAATACTGCTGAAATCACATGGATCTGCATTGTATGTTAATGTTACAGCTATTAAGCTGGATTTATTATCATGCATAATTATCAGATCAGATTTAATTACAAATTGTCAAGAGGCTTCATGCATATGTGCTGAACCTGATTGGATGCTGAACTAAGGCATAAACAACTGCCACATGATATTGCTTGCCGAAATCCAATCAGTGAGCCAAAAGTATTATAAATAAATACATGAAATTTGAAATTATTGCTTATTTGTAATTAATAATTCAATTTTACCTGAGTTTTATTTAACTAACATTATATTTAATTTATTTGTCGATTTATTTAAAGATCTGTTTTAACTTTAAAAGGAAAAAATATTTTTTCTTCCTCAATATAGAGAGATTCAAATCAAAAGAGGAAGCTTATGACCAGCTACAAGACCATGTAAAACATATGGAATCTCATATACAAAATTTAGAATCTAAAATTGATTTTGTAAAATTGGTGAGTCTTACTCTGAATATGTTGAATCAAAGTTATTTTCATGTATCCTTATTACCTGTCTGTATCTTTTTATATAAATTTATTAGCTTTAATTTAAAAAGATAAAATAAGTACAGATTTTCTTCTCTTTTTTGTTATATTTATGATTTTTTTCATATGATTCAGTTAATCATATTCAATTTTAAAAATTTAAGAACATGGCTTTATAGGTTTAGTCCTAAAAAGACAGCCAGAGGCTAAGTTGTCCATTTATGGGAATTTCAAAGTATTTCCTCATTTAATACCAGATGTAAACACATATCTCCATTTTCCCCCTTTTAAAAAGGGGATATCTTTCTATGTTACATAAAAATGAATGATAATTTTGAAAAACAACAATTTCCATAGTTAAATAATATTTATTTATTAATAAAACTCTCTTAAGAAATTATTAATTATTGAAACTTTTCCTCTCTCCAGTTTTTCGGGAAACCTTTCTAGCTTTGTTTAAAAACGGTATAAATCTTCTTCATTTTTACTGAAACTAACTTTCACTTTAAAAAAAACGATTTTGAAATAAACTAATTAAAGTATTAAAATTTCTGATGACTAACAACTATTTATCAATTGTTTATATTTTATTTATTTGTATTGTTATTTTTATTTATATTCCAAAAATTTTCTATTCTATCTTTATATATTGACTTCTTGCCTAAAAACTAATAAAAGAATACAACTGACTTTCAATAATTTCTTTAAATTTTCTGTTATTTCGGCAGTTTTTTTATTTCAAATGTAGTTTTTTTTATCTCAATTTTTTTTTAATTAGTAAACTGCTTCTTTTTTTAATAATTATTAGAAAATATGCAGATGAACCTTTGTATTTTTCCTTGTACAGATGAGTTATTGTAGCATATTTGTTCAATAATTAAATTTAAAACAACCTTTCTGATATTACTTGGTTAAAAATAACTTCATTTGCTTGAAAAAGGGGCAGATGGAAATAAAAATCAATGTCACTCTATCTTCAAGCACTCAAAAATAAGTGCCCATTCTCAAAACTTGCCAGGAATGAATGAAAATAACCAAAAGTGATTTGTTTTATAAAACATAAAGTTGCCAATGAAAAATAGAAGAAAAAAAGATGAAGAACAAAATTTAAAAGAAAAGCCGCAGTTGTCGAGTGAATTAAAAATAAAGATGGAAAAACATAACAAGAAATGTGGGTATAATAGCAAATATAGGTATATAGCAAGTAAGGGTAAAATGCATTTCCGTGCACTATGGAGACTGTGCTTTGTTATCTGCATATTTTTGAAGGCAATAAAGTTTTTTTTTAATCAAGTACTAACTTATCACTTAAGTTTCTGGAAATAGTTTATTTAACCCTTACAATATCCAGCTATCAGTCTTTATACAATTAACTATGCTGCAGCTTATGGTATTGTTTTTATTTGCAAATAACTTTAAAACTTGGTTTAAAAAAACTTTCTTTTCTATTTGCTGCTGAAACATATACGAGCAGCAAAACTTAGCAGTTTTATTTATTTGATGTGTGGATACAAAGATGAAAAGATAGTTTTGTTACCCCTTGAATTTAACTTACTCTTTTTAATGATGCTAATAAATAATAGAGGAAACTTTAAACATCTTTTTGACAGTTTGCGATGAAGAATATTGATCTAATGTTTTAGTATGTTTTTGTTTAATTATATCTAGGAAGGAATAGATTTTGATGATCTTGAAAGAGCAATTCATCTTTTTAAGCAAAGCAAGGAAAAGCCATCTTATGCACCTGAAGTAAATAGCTCAAACGGTACAAAAGATACCACCAGCAAACCTACCTCACCTCTCGCTACTAACAGTCCACAATACATCAACTCGAAGCACTCTCCAGCACATTATGCTAGTGATGAGTCAAACCAGTTGCTGTTAGCAGAAGCTGCTAAAGAAATAGAAGATCTAAAAATGAAGTTATCAGATGTAATGTTTCTTCCCTGTTTTCGTTTTTAATTCCATTAAATTGATTCAACAGTCGTTTGTTTTATATTAATTTTTTATTGCTTTTTTGCTGCAATTTATATTTTCAGGGATGAGATTTTTTTGCTTTTTAGCGGATTTCCGCTTTTTTCACTTTTATCTCTTGAATTTCAGTTTTTTTATCAAAAATTCAGATTTTTCTAAATATTTCACTTTTTTTAAAAAGTATTCCGCTTTTTCAGAAAATTCACCGATTTTCAAAGAGAAACAGAAAATTCAAACTACATAGCTACCAATCCTTTCTCATTTTTACTTATTTTAACTATTTTCTCCCCTTTTACTCACAGCAGATAAGATTTTCCGACTTTTTTACCCGCCCTCCAGATAGATCCGATTTTTGTAGTTCAAACGACGCTGCTTCTGACAAGCCTCTTAGAGGTACCAAGCCTGGAATCTGCTAATATCTCGATTCTTATTCACACGATTTCAATATCAAACATAACTTTTCATATTTGCGTGTTGCGATTCTTATTCACTCGATTTGAATATTATATGTTGCGATTCTTATTTACGAGATTTAAAACTCTGATATTGTAATTCGTATTTACGCCTTTTTAAAAACCTATTTAGCGATTTGTATTAAAATTCAAATAACGCAGGTTTAAAATTCAATGTCTTGATTTGCTCATGCGGTTTATAATATCAAACATTGATTTTCATATTTATACGTGATTTTAAAATAAGGCATTGGGATTCGCATTCCCGCATTCTAAAAATTCATAATTCTTATTTAATCAATCTAAAAAATATGCATCATGATTCGTATTTAGGCAATCTAAAAATTATGAATCGTGATTTGTATTTACGCGTTTTAAAAATTCTATATCCCAGTTTGTATTTTCTCATTTTCAAAATCGTATATCTAGTTTCATATTCATGTGATTTCAAAATCCATAATTGTTATTCATATTCACGCAATTTTAAGATCAACTATCGCGATTCTTGTAAGAAGTAAATTTTTTTTTTAATTAGTTACTATAAAGGTGACTGTTTTTCTAACGACGATTATTAGTATATGTAAGTGTTACAACATCAGAGAAACTGGAAGGGAATATATTCAAAACTTACATTCTGTGCTTGCAAAGAAGAAAAAATAGGATTTGTCACAAGATGTTTGAAGATGGACTAACGACTAAATATAGCAAACATAAAAGATATAGCAAACAAAAGCAATCACTTAAAAAGGGATTTAATTAAAAAAAAATTTTGGGGGAAAAAGAGTTAATTAACTCATCATCAAAATTTTATTTATAATTGCTGTTATTTATGCTATAAAATGCAAAATTCTTATCAAATAAAAAACAATTATCTAAACAGTTGCTGATTGTCATGTAATTTTTCAAACTAAAATAGCAATTTTTGTATGTTAAGGAGTTACTATATATTTCTACTTCACTGTTATTGATATGTTTCAGAGGGCTCTAGTTAGATTAGACTATAATATGAACATAATGATTCGGTCCATTGTTAAAGTTTTTTTTTCCAATATAATTTAAAAAGTAATATTACTGATATATTTGCTATAAATCACATAACAGTATTTATTAAAAGAAATGAAATATTAATGTATATTCTCAGTAGTTTTAATTTGCTAAACCAGGTAGTTTTTCAAGTAATAATTGTCTCTTATGTGAACTGAGGGAAAATATAATTTCCAGCTTTATTTTTTCAATTGGTAATTTTAATTTTTACTAAATGTTAAATATCAATATAATCATTTACATAATAATAAATTAGTACACAATTGTATGTCAACACATTATTTATTACCTTAAACTGTCTGGTATTATTTAAAAGGGTTGCGCTTGCGTTAAATTTACTATCGTGGAAATTCAGCTTTTTTGCCTTTTGGCTAATCTCATCCCTGTATTTTGCATAAGTAAGCGTAAGATACATATTATATACAAATCCTTCAAATATTGTGATAGAAAAATTACAGTCATAATAAATGCTTGATTTCTAATTAATATTTGCTATTTCTTGAAAACAAATGTTTATTTTTCAGAAAAGTTAACTTGTATCTTGAGTTGTCAAGTTATGCCTCTCTTTTTTGCATTAGATTTCTTTTTTTTTTCTTTTTTTTTTGCGTTGTTTCAAATTTTTCAAAATAAGACTTGTTGTACAAAGTTAATGCAAATTTCCCTATATTTCTCTAGTGTTTCATATTAATAATTAGTTTCCTGTCTGCTCAGGTATTTTCTAATACCCATTTTCTTGAAATACATTCACAATTTCTTTGCTTTGAGTTTTGTGCGAAATTTCTTTGCTTTGAGTTTTGTGCGCATGCACAAACATAAAAAATTAAAAAAAATGAAGTAGGTTAAATTAAAAAAGAACCAGCAGGAAAGAAAAATTTTCATTTTTATATTAGGTTATGATAAGACATAACCTCTCTTTCTTAAATTTTAATGCATCAATTTTTATTATTTCTTGTGTTATCAATTTGTTAATTAAGTTGTTAATTTTGTTGGTTAATTGTTGTCCTTTCTTCAATTTTATTTTTCTCAATACTGTCCTTCTTTTGCAGTATGAAGTGAAGAATAGTGCCCTTTATGAAGAATTACAAAATTTGAAAGATATGTTTCAGACACAACAGAACCTAACTGAAGTTTCACAAGAAAAAGTGCAGTCTTTAACAAACAGTCTCAAACAGCAAGAAATAGAATTTCAGTCGAAACTTAAAGAGCTTTCTCACTTGCTTGATATCAGAGCTACACGAATTCAAGTAAAATATCAATTGCTCGTAAATTCAGGCAGAGACTGTGATAGTAGACTAACACACTTTAAAATGAATTAAAAAAATTTATGGATTTAATACAGCAATCTTTTGCAGTTTTTAATAAAGTAGTTTATTGCATTTTTATTGCAAATTTAAATTCTGCATTCTATTTAAATTTTTGCAACAGTTTTTAATAATGTAGTTTATTGCAGTTATATTTTGAAAATAAGTCTGCTGATTGCATTCTTTGCCGCAGTTAACTTACTGGATATTTAAATATGGCTGACAATTTAAAAAAGTCAATTAAAAAATGTACTACAGTTGACGTTTGAAGTACCGACTGCTGTGGTCCAAGAAAAATTGGCATTTCAACATAAGGTCACTATAATGGAAGTACTTGAAACTAAATCAAATATTTACTCATGAATACTGGATTTATTTTGACAATCAATTTTGTACTCACCAAATTTTAAGATAAGTTACGAAATCCTTTAAAAGTTAACATGGCTGACTGAAAAAAACTATAGTAAAGAAAAGGTATCTTTTTGGTATCTGTAAAAGTATCTTTTCGGTTGTGGCATGTTTTGTTAAACCATTCCAACTGAAAATGTTTGCATGAGGAAAATTAATTTTGTTTTCTAACTGCTTCTGATTGTTCCTGCAGAAAGTGGTTAATTTCAAAGTAATAATTACAGTACAGTACTGTACAGTATAATTACAAAGTACAGTAATAATTGATTTTTCAAATTATCAGTCATTTTCGAAAAGCCGGTAGTAAGTGTTGTGTTTATTAAAAGATTTGTCATTTACATCACTCTGATATTACGTTGCATAATTTTTTATTTAGAAACTAGAGAAACAGTTAAATGATATTGCATATGGGACTAATACATTTTCAATGCCACCAACTAATGTAAGTGAATCTTTAGTATTTTATTTTCTTTCATTCTATTGCTTTTATGCTAATTTAAAATTTAACTTTTGGAGCTTGTCTTTAATTTTTATTTGTTGAATAATTCTGAAATCTATATCAAAATAATTAAATATTACAATTTCCTTCTATATGAAAATCAATTAATTAGTAATCAGTTAAAATATTTGTTAACATCAGTTCTGAAAAGAAACGAAACTGAGTCCGAACAGTATTAAAACATTGTTAAGTCATCCTTTATGAAAATCAATTTCTCAGATATTTAGAAACATTACATTGGTAACTATATCAAGTAAAAATGTAAATAATAGTCTCTAATCTATTCTGTTATACCTTTCATATTGTTACTTTTTACACTATTTGAATTTTGCATGTATATCATAGATGTAAGAAATCTCAATTATGCCAGAATAAAATGTAAGTACATATGTATTAAAAACATACAGTTGAGTCTTCACTCTCAACTATAATTTTTAAAAATCCTTCTGTAAGTTTTTTACTGTTAAAATATCAAATATTAGCTAAAACTGAAAAGATCTCTAACCATTCGACTCAACTTTTAGTATGAAGCTCGTCAACTTTTAGCTCATAAAATTCTCACCAATTATTATAATTATTATTATTTTGTAAAAAAAAAAATTCTACTGCTTGGTTATAAAATTAACTGGGTTTAAAAATCAAAAATTCTCAAGATAAGAACAATTTTTGCATACTATGGCCTATCAAACCTACCAATTAATATCACTGAATTTTAATTCCAAATTTTCTCCATCTAAAATACGAAAATGTTATAAATAAAAGAAATAGAAAATATGTGTTGAAAAAGTTAAACTTTCCTTAGTAAGTGCTCTGTGCTAAGCTTTTAAAGAATGTATTATGCTTTTAAAGACATATTCTTTCATGACAAAGATAACTTTAATGCAACAAAATTTGTTCATATACAATTGTAAAATGTTAGATTAAATGTTATATTAAAATTAAGTAAAAACATTTTGCTAATGGCTGGTATAGTAGATGGATAAGAAAAATGTATAATTTTTTATTGAAGAAACTTTTTGGCTTTATATATTTAAATATGTGTAGTGTTGTATTGATGTAGCTTTATCTATAACCATTTAAATTTGAAATTCTAGAAAAATATCTTTAGTTTTTTTATATATTTTAATTTGTCAATTAACAAAGTAACGAATTATTTCATTAGATGGTTAAAAATATTGTTTGCACTGTATAATTTTACATTTCTGTTTTACATGTTTATCTTAAATTTCATATACAATAAATTTTTTATCCTGGAAAAGTCAGATTATTAAAATAAATTTTATTTGATTTGATTTTTCATTATTTTTAAGCTTGATTTCTTTTTTTAAAATATTTTTAGGAAGGAGAAAAGCCCAGTCCAATTCAGTTAAGTCGGGGTGAAAATGTATTTGAAATCCATATTGATAAGGTACATATTTTTTCTGTAAATTTTGCTTTATTTGCATAAATATCCAAATGGAAAAAAGAAACTCCTGAAACAAAAATGTTTTTAAACTTTTATTTAAATGAACACTTTTGCTACAGGAATTTATTTTCTTCATTTCCAAATCTTCACCCTTTCTAAGAAGTATTTGTTGTATTTTAGTTAGTTTAGTTTAGAATTGAACTTGCATTTAATTTCAATTCTAATTTAATCTGCTACGTAAACACAGATCATAGAACTCCAAAGAGCTGTAATACCTTCTACCCATGTTTTTTTTTCCTTATTCCTTTTTAATCAAATGCAGTTTTTAGTACCATTTGACTTATTATTATTATTTTTAAATACTAATTAAATAAATCTAATTATTGTACCATTAAACAATACATATAATCTCATAACATATATTTACTATAAATTAAACAATAAAAAGTGATATAACTGAATGTACTTTAGGTATTAAAAAGTTAATTACTAAATTATTTTTACTTTATAACACATAATAAGGTTTTGAAACTATGTATGTTATCCTAATATTTTTATTTTAAACACAATATCCTTGTTTATTCAAGTCTGTGAAACTTTTTTTAATTTTTATATTTACTGTTTTCTTTTGTATTTTCTATTTTTGTATTATGTTATAAGTTTTATAATTTTCATTATTTCTGTTTCATTTTATATTAAGCGACAAATGTATTACACATAATCTTTTATTCAGTTTTGAGAAATAAATCTCCATTTTTTGCCTTAATATAAATTTGCTCTAATTTTCTGAACTTTTTTAATGCTAGTTTTCTTGATGTCTTTCTTTTGCTTCAGATGATTCACCTTTTTCTAATAAGTATGGAATACCATGACCTCAAGACTATGTAGTGATTTTCCTCTTCTTTGGGACTCTTATGATATCATTATATCAAATAACATTTATGTTTGGCATAATATAACAACTTCCAACTATTGTGTCATTAAATTCTACATCTAATCAATCAATCCTTATATGTGTTTTAATTATGTATTTTGACTCAATTTAATTTATTTTATATTTTCCTCGTAAAATTTATATCCAATTTCTGAAAATAACTTTACAGATAAAATTTACTCTCATGGGAAAAAGAAGTTTCTTTAGTCCCACGTCTAGCATATTTTTAACATGGAGTTTTTATGAATTTGAACTTCAATCTACTCCTTTAGTTTCATCTGAAAAGTAAGCAAATACTTTTTAATACTTACTAATACTTTTTCAAATACTTTTTAATACAAATTGTTTTTATGTCCTTTCCTTTTTTTATACTAACCTTATGAATACAACCGACCTGCCAGAATAAAATACTTTAACTTTATAAATGCTTTGTTAAAAGGTTAATACGAGTTGTGTCTTCCCAAAAAAGACATTTGAGTAATTAAGTGATTAACAGCATTTTTTCCTAACTGTTCTTGAGTATNCAATTTCTGAAAATAACTTTACAGATAAAATTTACTCTCATGGGAAAAAGAAGTTTCTTTAGTCCCACGTCTAGCATATTTTTAACATGGAGTTTTTATGAATTTGAACTTCAATCTACTCCTTTAGTTTCATCTGAAAAGTAAGCAAATACTTTTTAATACTTACTAATACTTTTTCAAATACTTTTTATTACAAATTGTTTTTATGCCCTTTCCTTTTTTTATATTAACCTTATGACTAATACAACCGGTCTGCCAGAATAAAATACTTTAACCTTATAAGTGCTTTATTAAAAGGTTAATACGAGTTGTGTCTTCCTGAAAGAGACATTTGAGTAATTAAGTGATTAACAGCATTTTTTCCTAACTGTTCTTGAGTATCGTTTCCTAGTAGGCACATAACAAGTTTTAAGAATCCCCTCCAAGTAACAGTACCGTACTGAGTACAGCCTACTCAGAAATAGTGGTGTTTTTCACCAAAACACTTTTAAAGAAACATTTGCTTTTATAATATGAAAATGTGGCCTCTTTTAATAGTGTCCCTAACTCTTCATTTTTATGTTTAATTACTAACTATGGATATGTTGAATTATTTATTATTATGCATTATGTTTGTAATATAATTTTGTTAATAACTCACTACAATCTTGTCTAAATAGTTATTTTCATTATTCACTAAAAAGTTACAGGCAGAAATTAATAATATCAGGAACTAAACTGTTCAACCCTGTAATAATATATAAATCCTGTCAACTGAATTTAATTACTCTTAATTTTTTTTTATTGTAATCTCTAATAAATCAAATCAAAAAAAATTTTATTATCTTTAATTTATATTTCTGTGTGAAAAAAAAAACATTATATCAAAATGTTTTTAATTTTTTATACTATGAGTAATTTTTGTTGAATTTTCATTTTGAATTATTAGGTTTTTTAATTAAGTGAGTTTGAATGGATTGGTTTAAGTTTTAGTCCATTGATTTGTACTATCTTTGAAAAAGGCAAAATTATAGAGATATATTTATTTGTGCAAACTTTTCTCCTTGTTTCATAAATAAAATTTATAAAAATGAAGCATTTCTCCAACAAACCTTATGGAACAGGAAGAGTCATGGAAATTAAGGGTTCATAATTTTGGTACCAATGGTGCAATTCTGATAATGCAGTCAACCTAAGACATGATTGTGATATGTTGCATGTAATTGTGGCATGCTTATAAAGACAAAATTGAAATCAAAATTTGATCTAAAATTCTGAATACTTTAAAAACTGATGTGCTGACATTAAAATATCATCAGTGGTAGATGTTTTGGGTAGTAGAATCCCTTTGTTGTCAGGCTAACTGGGGGTGGTTTTTGTGATTTTTCCTATGTGTGTAACTCCGTAAAAAGTCCTCTACGAAGGCTAGTTTGTCCCTGTGCTTGATCCAGGAGCTGCATGTCAAAATTACTAGACAACCCTGTTGAACATTGATAGTCATAAACTTAGAATTGGGTATCTTTTTTCAACGACAGTAGTTATAAACTAAACTAGTTATATAATTAACTAAAATTCTATCATAGGAATCTTTATAGACAAAAATAAGAATTAAAATGTACAGGGAATATAGCTTATTCGATACGATAAGGAGACCACCCCTTAAAAATTCTAAATAATTTTTTTATTTGTACAAAGGTAGTTAAGCTTACCTATAGCGCTAAAACAGTTATGTTCATGTAACTTTTCCTGTTTGTGTTTCTCACAGTGTTTTTTTTTTCTTTATATTATTACAAAACTTTCTTTTGTCACTTCATTTGAATTATTTAATAGATTAAAGTTTTGTGATGTTAAAGCCAACAACTGGAAAAGTTGCACTTTTGGACATTTTGCATAGTACATTTGAAATTAAATAAAATCACCGAATAAAGTATCATTTATGCTAAAGTAACTTAATTTTTATAGGTTCAATTGTCATTGTGTTTACTTAAATATTTTTATTTTTTATAATGTCAGAGATTCTGAAGATTTTAATCTCTTTATAATTAATTTCAAAATAGTTCGTTTGCTTATAAGCTAAGTTACTAGCATTTAAATTTAGAAATTTAAATAGCAACTTAGATTAAGTATAAACTCTCTTTTTTTTGTTAAATATTTATTATAAATTTAATGTGAAAATAAAAATAATAACTTTACTATATGAAACTTTTTATTATTTTCCAGACCAGATGTTAACTTCACTGCACAATATACAGTTCAAGTGGATGATTATTTTCTTAGTTATTTACTTGATGTAAGAAACCTTATTTTAATATTGTTTTTGACAAGTTTTTGTTTTCCAGATGTAAGTCTGAAACCTCGCATTGCATTTATTTATATTCCTAGCTAATCTAATTATTTTCTAATAAGTATTATATAATAAGATATCGAAATGCAAAAGCCATATTTTATCTTTAAAAAGTACAGTACTGTGTTAATTAGGTTTTGACTTAGAAAGTAGATATTTTAGGAACCTCTAATGTATTTCAAAATCAATTAATGATTTTTAATGCAGTCATAAATGTAAATTTCTTCTAATATTTTGCTTCTCTCATTAATTTACTATATTTTAACATAATGTGCAAAATTTATTGCCATTGATTTTAAAATCAACTTTGTAAATACTTCTAATTAAGTCATGTACAAGCTGAAGTTAAATTGCAATTGGTGTTATAAATTTAAGCAGTCTGGAATTTTTTACAAAAACTGATAAGGAAAAGCAAATAGTCACAGACTGTGACAGTTAGTTGTTAAATTTAAAACTTGTTTGTTGTTTTTATTAAAAACAACTTTACTTATGATTTTTATGATTGTATAACTGCACTCAATAGAATATATTTTCAGCAAAAAAAAATTTAATGAAACTAAATTTTTCAAAAAATTTAGTTTATATACTTTCATTTATCCCACAACTATAGCCATTTTTCAATCCTTTTAGTTTTATTTTAATCATTTTCTTCAAAATAACCAATAATTTAAGCTAGATGGATATGTAAATACGATTTAATTTTATTAAATAAACGCTACACTGGGTCAAAATTATCCCAAACAGGTATTATTTTAAGCTTGTACATAAAAGCATTATGCACTTTTTAAAAACTCACTTTAGTGGTAAACATTAATCTGAGAAGAAAATAACTTATTTCCTGTTTTACTCTCCTAAATTTCATAAAAACTGTAAAAAAAAAGAATTAAAAATGGGCCCAAAGTAGTCCCAATTTGTGGTACAAAACTACCAGAGGATTTATATTACAACAAAAAACAAGGAATTTAACTTATGTATATTAGGCTTTCTAATTTATACTAGACTGCCTCTAGATGCTGCCTCTGTTTAATATTAGACTTTCAGAGATATACTGCACTACTTTTGTTTTCCACTATAAAGTAGGACATGTGAACTGTGTGCATCATGAAAAAGTATATCTTGAAAAATTTGAGTGATGAAGCTAGATTAAACTCTTCTGTAAATAAATGTTTGTTTGTTTTATTTGCAGGGTACTGTTATTTTAGAACTACATGAATCTTTAGGAGTGGATTACAGAACCCTTTCATCTTGTCACATAAATCTTTCTGACATTTTCAAAGAATCTGTGACAAAAATGCATGGCACTACTACATTAATGGGTAAATATTCATAGTAGAACCTCAATCAATCCTTCCTCATGGAATCATTTGTTTCAAATGATCTAAACAGGGAACTAGCGCATGTGATTGACATGTTAATAAAATGTGATTGCATTAAATTATAATTCTGTGAAATGAAATGATGTTTTTAATGACTTTTAAGAAGATCAAGGGACAACGGTTTATCTCCTTTAAAGCTGATTCTGAGAAGGTGAAAAAGAAAAAAAAACTTCCACACATACAGAAACTGTTTTTCAACTGCACAGCCCATCTTTGCTGAGTAATTACTCTCAGGGCAGTATAAGTGCTGATTTTCCAAAATTAAGTCGTCCTTAAAATGCAGCAAATTGCAATCCAATCACAGATTTAGTTGGAGGAAAAAATGGACATAAACCGTTCTTCCCCCTTAATCTTCAATGATAAACAAGAAGTGATCACAGGGGTTGGTAAGCGATGTGAACTGCTAGCAGAGCCTCCTAGTGAAATAAAAATTCAAAATAAGCTCATACATTTGACTAAAAATTGTATTCTTTTGAAATTAAACAAAAATTTACTTAAATAATTATCACCAAACTAAACCTTTTTCAATACCTCTTAATAGAATATAGAATGAACAGTGAAAAACTTTCCCTTTTTCTTTATTTATTTTATTTTACTTAAACATACCTAAAAAAAGAAAAGAGCAAAAACAATTTAATGTCTTGTTAGCTTTTGCGGTGAAAAGTTTTGTTCATCAAATTTATTCAATCACTTTAAATACACTATTATTAAAAATATATATTAAGCTGTATTTTGTCGAAAAGTAATGTTCATTCATCACTTAAAAGATAAAATATTTGAGGCTTGTACAAGTTTATTAACTTTGAATTCAATAATACATTTATTTATGAACTATTAGTCTGTTCAGTTTAAAATAATTTTAAATTTTATTCTTTTTTCAGGTGAAGGATCAGTCGAATTTGGATCTGTTGAATACTGGGTGCAATTAAAGATTCCCATGAAAGAAGCTTTCAAGTTCTTTAAAGTATTTATAAGTTTAGTTCAAATTCTGATTATTTTTTGTTTTTGTGGACTTATTAGTTCTCCTTAATAAAATAATAAAAAAAAACTCAGGAACTATTACTAAATTTAAAAAAATTAAGTGGGAAAAATTTTTAAGAATTAAGTTAGGGTAAGTAAAATTTTTATTGCATACTATTTTTCTTTTTTAAATTTTTATCTTTTTCTTTCTATAAAGCATCATTATTTTTATAAATGAATAACTTTATTTATCATTTTAAAGTTTTTTTTTTATTTTTTTGCTGCTCAAATATTGTCCTTTGTACTTTTTTATTTTACTTTTTTATTATTTTTTTTTCATAAAAGATATTTAGATACACCGTAATAGTTTTTGAAAAAAATTATTGAAGTGTAATCATGTATCAAAATTTATTGCACATGCCACTCTGCTACAAATAGAAAATCTAATTGATTATTTTCAAAATCCTTAAACATGCACAGTGCTTCATTGGATCATTAAAAGTACATTAAAACGAGCAACTGATTCTCCAGAACTGAATTAACTGAAAACCATGGCATTCTAAATTCAGTAGAGCAGAAAATTTAGTATGGTCTTATCTTAGTTTTACTTAATCTTGTCAATATTTGCTCACCTAATTTTTTCTATTCACTGATGAACTAGGAATAAGTCTAATTCATTATTCATCGCCGTATTCTATAGCCTAAATTAATTTTATTTAAATAAAAATATTTTTAAATAACATGTTTTGTATTTAAACTAGAGATTCTTTAAAAAAAAAAAAGAAAAAAAAACAATCACTAAGAATTGGAACTGAACTTACTCTTTTTTTGTCTGTTGCAGTTTTTTTAATATAATGTTTTTTTTAATAGTTTTGTGAAATATGTCTCAAAGTTTATATTGAACTTTTTTATTAAGTTGTTTTATTTTGCATATTTCTTTAAATTTTGTTTGCTCTTTTGTCTCTATTTATGAAAAATTAATTCATATAGTTCTTTAATAAAACAACATTTATATCTTCCAGTTTCAACCAACTTAAATGACAATAAAAAGCCTTAGCAAAATGGCAAACATTTTCATTTTATGAGACACAAAACCATTCACAACTTAAGATAAAAAGGAAAAATAAAGCCTTTGGTTTTTAGCACTTTATTGGTTTTTAAGCTCAAAATAAATCAATGTACTTTCTTTAATGGGAGTGAACAGGGGGTCAATAGGGGTGGTTAGCAAATAAAGAAATTATAGAGAACTAGAAATTTTATCAAGCTAGATAAATTAAAAGTTTTAATCAAAAGCCCCTAAAAGTTGGGAATAAATGAATTATAGACCTAATATTCAGACCAATTGGGACAAATTACAGAAAATGCACACATGTTCACTTGCAATGTATGCAAAAGCACACTATTGCAGAAAGCACATATGTGATTTAAGAAATTAAACATTTTTAAAGCATTGTTTTTACAAAATACATATATGACATTTGGTTGCCAAACAAAAGGCCATAAAGGAGTTAGTGTAAATATTTTGAGAAATTAAAAGTAAGAATTTCTTAACCCAGAGAAAAAGCATATTTCTATAAAAAATAAAGTTATTTTGCTGTATGTTTATCTAATATTCACAGACTGGATCAAAATTAATATATAATATAATTGATGAATCCAGTAGTTATTAAATTTATACATTACCAAATACTTTTGTTACCTTTTAATACAATTGTATTACAGTTTTCCTAAAAATGTCTTTTAAAATTCATTTTGAAATTTTATCCACTCAGTTTTTACAACAAAAGTATTTTTTTAAATAAAATTGTATTTCAGGAAAAAATGAAAGCTTTGAAATACATTCACAGTAATAAGCAAATTTCTACAACAGCTATACAACTTTTAGGACAACCATATGACAAGGATTCTCAAGTTAATCAACTGCATGTAAAAATACTGAGAGCCATGAACCTAAAACCTAGACAAAAAGGTATTTTCTTTTGCTACATTTTAAATAAATTTTTCTTAATTAAAGTTTTGTATCTTGGACAGGTTAGCAATTTTTACTTTGAATTTTTATTTTAAATTTGTTTTGATTTGGAAAAAATATATAACTGCAGAAAAAGATGGTGTGTTTCAAGATTGTCTATAGATTGTTAATGTGACCATAATTGTCAAAGCTAAATTTAAGATGTGAAAACTGTCCCAAGGTGAGACACTCAGTCCAATATGCAATAATTTTTTAATTAATGAATTCATTTTAATAGTTTTGATGTAAAAAGCAGCAATTAAACTTAAATACTGTTCACACTTTTTGATCCTGAAATTTTTTCAAGTGCTTTTCATTTCAATATTTTTTTTATTATTCATTTTGAAATTAGATATTTTTAATAATTCTAAAATTATTGCCTAAATATAATTTTTCTGTAATTATTAGATCTGACATCTAAACAAACACTCCATCCAATGTGTAATATTTTTTTTTTAATGAATCATTTCATTTTAATAGTTTTAATGTAAAAAGCAACAATTCAACTTAAATATTATTCTCATTTTTGATCCATAAATTTTTTTCAAGCTCTTCATTTTAATATTTTTTTTATTTATTTTAAATTATTCTAAAATTATTATTTGAATGTAATTTTTCTGTAATTATATCAATGATAGTATGTAACTAACACTTGAAAAACACTCTGTCCTATGTGTAATAATTTTTTTTAGTTAATTTTTAATTTCCTTTAAGTAGTTTTAGTTCAAAAAAGAAGGATGTTTATTTTAATATTTTTATTATTTATTTTAAATTGAAATATTTTAAACAATTCTAGAATTATTACATGAATGTAATTATTTTTCTGTAATTATTTCAATCATAGGTTGGAGTAAACACATGAACAAACATACACAACATAATGATCCTAAACAAATTAAAAGCAAGTTATATTTAAAATCAATAAAGCTCATTGTCAAATATGTTTTATAATTATTATTGACTTATAAAGATTAATATTATGTTTCATAACACACACAAAAAAAACTTTTTAAAAGTTACAGTTTTTTCTCTACAGGCATACTGCTCATATAGGGTGCTTTAACATTTTACTATTGTGCATAAATGTGTGAAATAAAATTAATTTCAGAGAAATCTGAAATTTAATTATCCAAAAAATTTCCATGTCAATTTTTTTATTCATTTGCATTTTAATTTCTATCCTGAATTTATTAATAAGTGAATGTAGTACTGCATCTGAGTATGCCCATGAAAACACTTTTGAAAATCCGATTGTACGAAGCATACATTTCATATGCATAGCTATCAACATGGATGGGAAAAATTTCAGTAGATTTTATAAAATAATGTAATTTTCATGATAATTGTTGCAAAATATACTAAATATTTTACTCACAAGGAATTTTAGAGACTTATATAGTGATCAAAATAGAAAAACGGCAATATTTTCCAGTCATGATGACATTAAATGACCTTGAAACGTTATGTATTATGTTTATTCATAATTTTGAATAGTAATTCATCAAAGATAGTTAACTGAAATTTATAAGTGAGGCTCGCTTCATTATGTATCAGTGACACTTATTTAAATATTCAAGCAAGCAATAATCTGAACAAAAATTCCATTTCAATAGGAATTTGTTATGGAAACTTACTTAATTTTAGGGAATTTTCTAAAATGTACAAAAACTAGAATTTTTATTAAGCCAGCAGACAAGGAGAAACAGGCAAAATTCAGTAGTCTACTGGAAAATCCAGTAGAGTTGTCAGCTATGCATCTGTATTATTGACTGTTAAAAATTTGAATGCCCTGTGCTTATTAAAAACATATTTTCTATTATTTCATAAATTTTTGTTAAATGGAGACACTATTATACTCTTATTATTTGTGTTTGATATATTATTTTTAATTGCTTCCCTTATTGTGATTTGTAGATCTTCAACCCTCTGCTTATTGTGTATATAAATTTTATGATTTGCCTGATCAAGACACCGCTATTGTTCCTGCCTCTAACAACCCGGAGTTTATGGACCATCATACTTTTACTTTGTATATTGATCCTGACATTGAAAAATATTTAAAAAATGAAGTAATTATTTATTTTTGAAGATATTTATGTTANATAATATTTATTTTCCTTGTGCTAGAACATTGTGTTCATTGGCGAGCGAGCGCAGCGAGCCATGGTTCACGGAGTGAACCACATAGGATTGCGTAGCAATTCTCGGGGATTGGCGAGCAGGGGGCGGAGCCTCCTAGTTTTCTATTATTTCATAAATTTTTGTTAAGTGGAGACACTATTATACTTTTATTATTTATGTTACTTTATTGTGTTTGATATATTATTTTTAATTGCTTCCCTTATTGTGATTTATAGATCTTCAACCCTCTGCTTATTGTGTATATAAATTTTATGATTTGCCTGATCAAGACACCGCTATTGTTCCTGCCTCTAACAACCCAGAGTTTATGGACCATCATACTTTTACTTTGTATATTGATCCTGACATTGAAAAATATTTAAAAAATGAAGTAATTATTTATTTTTGAAGATATTTATGTTACCCATACATTTGTACTAATTTGAAAAATTTATTAATGGTTTAGAAATTGGATTAAAATAAACTCATATTTATCATTTTTTGAAAATTTTCAGAGCTGAAAAATTACTGTTTGAAATTTGAATTTAATTTTTTTTTAAAAAATATTTTGAATATTTGTGTTTTTAGAGAGAACAAACTTGGACTCCACTGACTTGGAGATATTATGTTATGTTTTTTTTTTTTTCACTAATTCAAAACATTGTTTCATACTCCCCTCTAGTATGACTTTTTTACATTTAAGTTTTCAGGAATAAACCAGAATGTTTTGCAGAATAATAGTTGGGTTTCGGTGTGAATAAATACTTTTCATTAAACACTGTCGTCAAATACACATTTTTCCAAAAACTGTTGTCTCTAAGGAATGTCTCTAGTTTTCAAGGTTTATCCAATTCTGCCAAGAAATATAGACTAACAGTAACTTAAACATTGAACTGTCGGAACTTTACAGAACATAATTTATGCTGACACATGCCAACTTCTCAGATTTCAGTACTTAATTGCACATTACTCAGATTTGTACCAGTGAAAGTGTAAAAATAAATACTTATAGTCTTTTATGCAAAAAGAACATCTTATTGAAACTGATGCCACACTTAGTTTGCTTAAAATTAAAACTAATTAAATAAACCAAATACAAGTAATTAAAAATTAGTAAAGTCTGACACTGGTATGAAGGCAGCAACTCTATCAACTTATATATATTGTGAAGGGAAGGAAGTAAACATAGAGAATGCCAAAATAAAGTGTAATTAGAGAATTAAAGTCAGTACGATACAGATAATCTTCAGATTGTTACTAGTGTAATTAAACTTTTATATTTTTTTAGAATTCTATTTTTTATTTATATACTTGGGACAAATTATTTATGTAAAACAATAAATAAATTATTTGTTTTTAGCACAAATTGCACTTTTTAAATAATTTATTTCAAAATTATGGGTTACATGCCAATTCTAGACGTTCAAATAATTATGGTGTTTGTAACAGCAAATCATATTGCTGTAACCAAGTTCATGTGCAGTGGATTCCCTAAAGTAACAATAACATTTCTTTCCATAATGCTGATCTTATATTTGTGTTGAAATCGCTAATAAACCTTCTAAACCTATAAGTTACAAATACTTACTTATTGAATATAAATATGTGTTTTTATACTGGATGAATAATTATTTATCTAAATAATACCTGAGAAATTATTTTTATCAACTTTTTTTTCTACTGATAAATAGAACTAAAATACTTGTTATTCTGTTATACTTATATGAATATTATATTAATATTAGTCACCTTTTGTGACCAGTTTGGTCAACTTTCAAAGTTAATGTGTACAACATGTAAACTTTAAAGGTAACCTAGTCAAATGCACATAATTGCATTTAAATGTTCTAATTCTTCAACCCCTTCGTCAGTCATAACACCTTAATTAGTTTTAAACAATACATTAACCAAGTATTTTCAAAGCCTAGCTGTTGACTGTGCAGAAATGCTTTGATTTCAATTTTAACCATTTTCAAGAGAACTCGATTACATTCAAGGTTCTCTATGTATTAAATTTCAGCAATAATTTTATATCTAACCGGCAACCATGAAATCATACAAAGTATGAGTTTGTGACATTTCAGCATAATAGGCAGCAGAAGTATTCAAATTGCTTCTTTATGAGCTAACATAGAAAACTCATTATAATGCTCTATCATGTGCAGTACTACTTGCTCATGTACCTCTTGAGCCCTAAGTCCTAACTTGGGTATGGTATAATATGTAAATGCCATGATGGCTCAAGGGATCGAGTGCTTACCTCTCAATGAGGTGACCCGGGTTTGATCCCAGCGATGGCTGATCGATGTGAATTCCACAGTGTTGACTTAAAATATCCTCAGTGGTAAACGGATCGTAGGTTAAAGTTCCCTTTCTGTCAGGCTAACCGTAGGAAGTTGTTGTGGTTTTCCTCTCCATGTAACGCAAATGCAGGTTAGTTCCATCATAAAGTCCTCCACAAAGGCGAATTTCTCCCAATCCAGGAGTTCCCTTGTCTTCTGAATTAAGTTCAAAGTTACAAGGCTTCGGAGTTGAACATTGGTAGTCATATACTCAGAATTGGGTAGGTTGTTCAACGTTAATTATAAAATAAAATAAGCAAAATTTTAATAATTACTTCCTAACTAACTTTATATTTCTGTGAAAATACATAAGTATTTTAAATAAATACTTATCCTGTAACTTACCATTCAACACTGCTTAAATTATTACTTAAGACAACCTATCAAAATTAATAATATTTATAGTTTTTCCAATAGATACAGAAATATCAGACTATATGATTTCAAATCAGAGAAATATGGAAAGATTATGCTTTGCTCTCTTTTTTTCAGAATTTGGATGTATATGTTTTTGATGACAATGATCCAGATATAAATACCTATATTGGGAGAGTTTCTATACCGCTCTTTCCTCTGGTGCAGAATGAATCAATTAAAGAAATATTCCAATTGCATAAGGTAAGATTATTTCCATGGTATGATTTAAATAATGGTTTAAATCCTATGATTTTTTTTTTTTACAAAAGATCATAGATAAATTAACTATGATTTTTTTTCAAAAGCCATCAATTTGAACTATTCGAATTTTTGAAAAAATTATTAAATATTACCTACCTTTTGTACATGTACACTAGAGTTAATATATTCTTAAACTTTTACTAAGTCTGATTTCAGTGATATTGAAGGTTTTTTTACTAAGAAATAATAAAAAAGGTATTCATGTAAATTATTGTATTTGCATGCATATCCCTTTCATTATTTCAATAAAAAGAAAGCATTAAGTTGAAGTAAACTGATATTTTTAAACAAAAATAAATAATCAATTATTTAAATAAACTAATTTTTTTAAATTATTTATGTAAGTATGAAATATTTTTTATATAATAAAATATTAAAAAATACATTATTTAGAGTGTGATTTTAAGTCTTCTTCTATCATAATGTAAATTCCTTACTAAGAAATAATAGTGTCATACATGTAAATTATTATATTTCAAAATAGACTGAAAATAAAAGAGGAGACTAAAAATGTCATGAGCTCAAAAAGTATTTTTATTATACCCATTTAGTTTTATGCTTTTTTAAATTCAGTGCTTTTAAAGCTGATTAAATATGTAGTTTGTGTATATCAACCAAAGTAACTTACGTAATTTTTTCTCAGCTTACGTTTTCTCATCAAAACTAATTTACTCTTCATTAGATGTCTAATTGACAAATAGTCTCCCACTCTTTAACAGTAATTGGCAAATTCAGCTTAAAGGACATATTTATGATTTTATTTATTTGATTATTAGTTTTTAATAATTTAAACATAATTTTAACCATTTTAGTAAGAAATGTTAGCTTTTTTTGCTATGATATTATTTGTATATAATATGTAATAGCTATTATTAATACATTTTATCAAACATTTCGGTTGGTAAATGAAGAAAAAAAATTTAAAAAATCACGATTTTTGCCAACTCTATTGGTATATTAGTAAAAATATGTATTTTAATTACTATTCTGTATTAGATATAGAATTTTGCATTTATTTTTAAATCCAGCCAAATGATGACACTGTTTCTGGATCCATTGAAATAGCTATGTATTGGCAGCATGACTATCAGCCTGCAACATCTGACACATCTACAATAGGCAGTGCTCAGCAGGTATACTGCCTATTATTGTTTTGTTCTCTACTATTCTTAGATCGAGTATTCATTTGTTATACATTTATATTTATTTTAGTTTTCTAAAAAGATGTTTATTGAATTATGTATTTTACTATTGTATGGTGCATTTTAATATTTTCCGAAACTATGATCTAGTAAAGAAAGGATTCATTTTATGTCATATATGTGTGAAAAGCTTAATAACATAGAAAAACCACAAATGATGTCTTATAAACAGACAAACTGTAATTTTTGTTTTATTATGAAGAATCGCAATCAGTTTTGAATAATTACAGAATAATTTTAGTCTTAGAAGAAAAAGGTTCTTCATGATGGGGAGAATAGGGAAAACCTGGAAAATACAGAGAATTCAAAAATCTTTTAAAATAACAATGAAAGTACAAGGAATTTTGATTCTTTCTTTAGGAACTGGAAAAATGCAGGGAATGTTGTTTTTTATTTTCGTTTTTTAAAAAATGTTAATCACTCAAAGTGTGCAATCTATGGTATATTTAAGGATGATATTTCAGTTATATTAAACTAGTTCATTTACTATAACGTTATTTCCTTTAAGCATATTTGGCTGTTCCTTTTTTCCTTAAGTTTTTTCAGAAATTATAACTAGTATAGTTAGCCCAGTACAGCTTATACAGGAGCACAGTGATTGTGTGTTTCCTCTTGCTATATTGTGTATAACAACGACAGGGAATTTTTTTTATTCCAAATTTGAGTGACATTCCTGATCTGTTTATGTGACATTTGTGTTTTTACGTGTTTTATACATTAATGTGTGATGTATATTTTATGCATGTTTATTGAAATTGTTTACTCTTTTAAAAACGTGGCATTATAAGTTTGCATTAAAATGACATTAATGACAAAGGTGTTGTAAATGATTTTTGATAAGGTGAAGAAAAACAAGGATGAAGGAATCAGTTCTTAAAGTTATTAAAAAGTTTGTAAGTTTGTAATTTGTCATGTGGCAATGGATAACCACATTTTTTTTATAAATAATATTTTTTTTTTCTTCACAAGAGAGAGCAACTGATGAAAGCAATAAGCGAAGAAAATAAATCCAGCTCTGATGAAGAAATGACTGCTGCTGAGGAACCTATGCTTGAATATTCAGTCTCAACTCCACCTGTACCTAAACCAAGGACACTCCCAACAAAACCAGCTATGTCAACTCCTATTTCTAAACAGTCAGAGTCATCTTCACATGTAAGCTCAAATGTATGTATCTTTAATTTATTATATATTTTTTTAATCAATTAACTCTTTGCTGTTGTATTAAGTTCATACAGATGCCATGCTGCTCGGAATTAATTTTCGTTGAACGAACAGTAATACATTATATGCAAGATTATGAAGGAAAAATAAGATTTTTTAATTCTTTTTTAAACTTAAGATATGTGTAACACAATATTATGTTTTAATTTTGCGTAAAAAATTGCAGTTTTGCATAAAAAATTGTATTGTATTGTCTCCATCATGCGGTATCTTTCAAAGCAGTCTCCAATGTAAAGCCCTAGTTTTCGAGAACAAGTGTCGCAAAAATAATTAGTTTGGAGTCTTCTCCCTTTAATTTTTCTGTTTGAGCTTACAGAACAATCTTTACATCTTCACAGAGCTGCAATATGTGTAGTTTGCCATTAAGCTGTGGTGGCTGAGAGTAGGCATACGATTGGAACGTTAAAAAACCGTTGGTGGCTGAGAGTAAACATAAGATTAGAACGTTAAAAAACCGTTGGTGGCCGAGAGTAGGCATACAACCGCTAAGGGTTAATAGTTGATTCGTCAAATCTTTCCGCTTTTATGTTTTAAACTGGAACTGATTTCTTGAAGGTAATAAGGAATGATGGAAAACTATATATTATGAAATGATATACTATCTCAATGATTGGTTAGTTGCTTCGAATTTGCTTTTGTAACTGCTGTAACGATGGTTTTTGTTTAATCGTTGTTTTATTTATGAATAGTCTGAAAATGAAATCAATTTAATCTTTGTGTCAAATGTTTTGAAATCTCTTAAATTTAACCATTTCTTTAAGTGATGACTCAGATTTGAAAGTAATAGTAATAATAAAAGTTTTATGCAGTTTTGTACTTTTTTTTCAAATTTATATTAATGCATTCTTTTTTATTAAATTATTTATCCTTACAATGATTATTTGTTTTGCTAACTGTGCCTTTTCTTTATTCCTCAGAATGGCAATGATGCTCTTATACTCGACTCTCTGCCAGTTTCTCCTATTCAACACGCTGATTCTGAAAAAATTCCGAAACCTGCTGAAAGAAAGTCTAAACCTCTGAATGGTAACTCATTCAAATATATGTATGCAATTTATGTGAACATGTGTATATGCCAGTAATTTTCACCTTGTGAAAAACTTCGTAAAATAATTTTTCAAATTCGTTTTTGTGAGGCATATTCAGTATTTATTTACTACTTTAATTCATTGTTTAATTTCTTTGTGATAAATTTTATCAGATTTATTGTTTGGTTATTCCCTCAAAAATAACCTCTCTAAAAAAATTAAAATAAAAAGTTAAATATCTCAAAAGAAAATGAAAACTCTTAGCTTTAAGAATATGATTTAAGTTAAGGAAGGATGAAAGTTTAGCTTAATAATATGTTGAAGCAGTTATGTTAAAACTGGCAAATGTTTTGAGAGAAAGGGATGAAGTAAAAAAGTATCAAATGATACACTTACTAAAAAACAATATTTACATTTCTTTGTTTTCTACTTTACAATAAACTGTCCAGAAATAAGAGTTTCTTTGGATAAAAGCTAGAGACTGTTCTCAAATGTTTTAGCTACAAGAAAAAAGTACAATTTTTTTCTTGATTATTAGTTCAAAAAATTTCATTCAAAATTATTTTGACCATTACGATATATTGTACAAATAATTGTTGATATTTTTTAAACACTGTGGAAATTTTTACTGGCTCAATTACGTTATTTTAGTACCGCTTAATGTTGAGTTTTAACATCAGAGTTATCGACTCACTCGAGAAAAAAAACAGTGCATTTTATTTGGTTGCATTCTGTTTGTTTTGACTAGTCATTCCAAAGCTACTGTAATAGACAATGTTTTGGAATTAACTTAGATAACACAATTTGAAAAAGTGAAATCTGATCAAACAACCAGTCTTTACCACAGGGATTTGGATGCAGGGCTCAAATTGCGGAAGACGAACACTCTACCCACCATACTGAATGGGCGAGTAACATTTAGTATTAAAATATAAAAAAATTCAATTTACTGACAGTACTTAAAATTATATTGTAAGTTGTTATATAATTGTTGTTAATCAAACTGTAATTTATTCTTATTTCTTCTTGACATTTTGCTCATAAATAACGTTATTTTTATTGTACAAACCAAATGAGAGTAAATTCTTTTTCAGAATTTTTTTTTTCATTTATTAATTCCAATTTTTTGACCAAACATTTATGTGGAATCTCCATTTTTATTTTATTTACTCCATTATTATTTCCATCTCCATTTTTATTTTCATTACTTTCTTTTCATCTATTCCTAATCTATTTGTTGCAGATGAAAATACTCAAATAGTGCAGAACTTTCAAAGAATAAAAAAACTATACAATGTAAGTTTGCTAAATAAACTACAGACATATAAAGTTCTCTGTTAAAAAAATGAATTTTATAATATTCTTAATTTAAATTACTTTCTTTAATAATTTCATTTATAGGAAGATTTATCAGATGGCTTGTCTGATTCTGAAAAGAAAACATCATTTGATGGTAAGAGTTGTTTCATACATTCGCTTATTATTATTAATATTTAAAAAACAGCTTAGAATAATTATGATACTATTGCTTTATATGTGCTTAATTGAATTTAATTTTCAGGTGAAAGCGACGAAGATAAGCATGATATGGGATATAGCTACAGTGAGGAATCTGATAGCGAGACAGATGCTTATTCACAACATCTTATTAAAGCACCAATCAGCCATGTAAGTAAAACAAAAATTATAATAACTATTTTTATTATAATTATACTACAGTAGGGAACCGATTATCCTTAATGATCGGGACCATCGCTATTCCGGATAACTGATTTTTCCGGTTTTCTGACTGGCTACAAAAAGCCGTTTTTTTATAGTTAAACCCAACTAAAAATAGAAAAATATTTAGAAATAATCTTAAAAAGAAGAAAAAACGATGAAGTAATACACTAATGATTATTTCTAAAATGATGGTAAGGAAATGATGGAATCTTTCAAAAAAGAAAGAAAAATCCTAAAATCTTATTAAAAAAAATTTTTTTTAAAATAGCGAGAAAATTTATCGAATTTCGTTCCGGTTTTTTGGTTTTCCGGTTTTCTGATTTCCGGATAACGGGTTCTGTACTGTATATTATATTTATACTATGTTTTTAAATTATTATTTTATGAAATATGTGTTATGGAAAAACGTTGGCCTCATTGTTGAAAGGAAGCAGATTGAGAAATCAAATATTTAGAATAAATTCTCTTTGCCATGGTCTAGTATTCCTGTTCACTATTCTGTTTACAGTATTTCATTCCATTTTCCTCACTCTCAGATACTGTTTGTATCCCCCTCCCCCCTGTTATGTTTTGAAACTAAAGTTTTTCTTGACTCTTTATTACAACACTGAGTAAGTAAACACCCTACCTGTACTTTTAAAAAAACTTTTGTGTACAGTAAGCAAAAACAAAAATGTCTCCTTTGAAAAAATTATTGGTCTAATGTTTAGATTTTCATAAAATAAGATGCAATCCTAGTATTTGAAGGAATACTCTTTTAAGTTGTGACAAACTTTAGATTCCGTGCTTGCATCTGTGTGTACTAATTCACTGATCCACTATTGTTATTTTCGAAATTACATAATGTTATGGGATCATCCTGTTTGTTGTGCTGCGTATTATATAGCTTAAATATCTGACTGTGATTCTTTTGAACTTAATACAGTGAAGAAATGTTTATATATGTCTCATTTTTTTCATTTAGACAAAATAGTTTCTATAATACAACAACAGAAAAAACATGAATTATGCGTTATACATAATATTTTTCTGACTTTTTGTTTTTGTTTAATTTCGCAAATTTGACTTTGAGCTACGGTAAAAAAAGAACTTTCATTCTCAAAGGTTGTTTTTTTTTACTTAAATGCCTGACTCGTATATGTATGTGTACCCCAGGTGAAGAATTAAAGTTATTAAGATAATCATGCTTTTATTTGATGAAAGGTATTATCGATTAATGTTATAATTTTATTTCGCTTTTGTGACGGATGTTTTGTATGCAACTTTTAATACTGTCACCTCTACTATTTTCTACATCAATAATATCAAGTGTCAAACTAAGATTGCTATTATGTTATCAGAATTATTATTTTTATATTGAATTTCTATTTACTAAATTATGCGTCAATTTACATAAGTCCTTTCAAAGACGTACTAACAGTGCTTTACTGTACTCAATATTTTTCCTAATTTTACCTCCATAGAGAATGATTTCTATACCTTTTTTTAGGTGCCTTCTATTACAGTATTAATATCTTACCTCACCATACGAAAAGAAGCAGCAGTTTTGCTTGATTCTAGGGTTAAATTATTGTATGTAGACTATCAGTTTCTAAATTATCCTCTTGAAGAGCTTGAAACTCCCATCTCCCTGCCAAAGAAAGCTTATCCTGAAAAGATTGAATATAATTTTAAAAAAGGTAAGTCTGTGCTTCTTTCAAAAATTTAGATTATTTTATTTCCTTCCTTGTATTTTATTGAAGACAGTGCAATACATAGAAATGTCTTCAACAGTTCATTTAGTTTTCTGGCTGTTATTTGTATCTTTTAATTGACGTAAAAATTTAAACGAGCAAGAATTAAACATCAATTAAATAAGTATTCAGGAGTAGTGCCATTATAAGAAATTTAAAAAAAATAGATGCTGTTAGAATAGAATTTTTAAAAATCCATAATTTTTTTAAGATACATTGAAAATCTGTAAATTTTTATGTGTAAGAATCTTGGAATTGACTTTTTAAAAATAAAAGCATCTTTTATAGCAAATATTGTTTTTATTTCTCTGAACAAAACTACCATTTTTAGTTAATTTTTGCTTTTTCAGATATAGATTTCATTTTTAGTTCACACAAATGAAAGCACTGTTCTCTCTATTCCAAATACAAAGAAAAGTTTGATACTGACCTCTAAACATATTATGGACAAAAACATATCAAAAGTGGCTATTTTTTAAAGTTTTTATTATTTATTTATTTTTTATAAGATTTTTGAAATTATCTTCGAGAGAATTTAATGCAATAATTCATTCCCTTTATAAAACAATAATTTAAACCGAACTTGTTAATAAAATTTGGAGGGATTGACCTGATAAACATGTGCTGAATTTCTTTTTTTCATATTTACCAGTCTTTACTTTGGAGCCAGCTAATTTGGAGAAGTGGAATTTACTGTTGAAAATGATTGCTTCGGAATCTCCTGGATCAAGCTTGTATAATTATTTCCATTTTTTCGATAATTTTTATCCATTTCACTTTTTTTTATTAACTTTTTTAATCTAATTTAATTTTGCAGGATAAAATTTACTGTTGTTAGTGAGCCTCCACCAGAAGAGCAAGACTTAGATTGTGAAGATGTTGGCTATGGCTCTGTTGATCTTCGTGAGGTATTTTCATGTATTGCTGAAGTTTTTAATCAATATATTTTGTATTAAAACTCTAGCATCAAAACAAAATTACTGTGAAACAATATTTCTGTAAATAAATATTGTATCCATTGATATTTATCGTATAAATTTTATATAAATTTTTTACTTTAGCTAGAATAGTTAAATCTGTTTTATTTTGGTTTCAAATTCAAATAAATTAGTTACATCTTCTACTTCATAACAGTTATTTTAATGTTTATTAATATTTTGGTGCCTTATGTTATTAACACATTTGCTGTGATAAGCCGAAGTTATAAATTTTTAAGCAACCTTCAAAAGATTCATTTGTTTTTATCTACATCTGCTTAAGAAACTAATCAAAAACATTTTGATTGAAACAAGCAATAAATAATGAACTTATCACAAAAAAAAGTATCTCTTATGAAAAGGTTCATAATTTGCTTTTTTTTATATTTTTTTTTATTACTTGTTTTTTTTTCCTTTCTTTTTTTGTATTTCTAAATAGAATTTTTTTTAATTCTAGATCTTGAAAGAACAAAAAGACAAAATTCATGAAGATATCCTAAGTAAGTTAAACTTATATTCTTTCATTGGTATTAAAAATTTAACAATTCAGTATTTTTTTAATTACTTTTACTTTTGTGTTATCAACTTATAAACAGGAATTAGGGAGTCTAAACTTTCTACTTGCCCTAATTTTCTTTTTCTCTTTACTTTCAATTGAATTTAGATAAGACTAATTGCATTTTTAATGAAAATCTTTTCTGTCTTGCAGTCTATGATGCCACAAATTCAAGTAAAGTGATAGGAGCTCTGAATATCAGTATTCAGGCACTTGAAGCATTGTCATTTTTAAAAACATTTACTATGCCATCATCACTCAGAAGTTAAACTTGCAGTTATATCAAAGTCATAAATAGAACTACTATTTAAATCTTATTACCGTCCATATTCATAAAAGATTCTTTGTTGTATGTGCTTAATAGCAATTGCCAAATTTGTGTTCAAAAATTTAATTATGTAAAAGAACGCAGCATTTAAAATGTCATGTTTCAAAATTTCACCAATTTGACTTGTTATAGGCAAGCAAAACTTATATTAAAACTTTAATTGTAAATTGAATATGTTCTATTCTAAAATGGCTTGATTATAGACCTAGAAAAGCTTAAAAATTATTAAGTTTGTTTTTCATATTCAAGCAAAGCTTTTATTAAAACTTTAATTATAAATTGAATATGTTCTGTTCTAAAATGGCTTGTTTCCAATCCTACAAAATGTTAAGTATTAAGTTTTTTTTTAACGATGCGTATGTGTTTAAATTTTTAATCCTTAAAATTCATTAAAAAGCTTATTTAATATAATTATTTAAAATTTTGACAATCAGTAAAAGTGCCATTTCGCGTGTACAAAATCTAAAATTTGCACCATTGCCAACTTCAAAATAATTTAAAAATTAACAATTTTGCTCAATTGCAACCTTTTTAAAAGCAATCATGAAAATTCAAAACCAATATATATACTTTAAATGCTGTATATGTATTATGCACAAGTAAGCAATGTACAAAAACAAATTTGGCAATCGTTGATTTTAAATTGTGTGTACTTAATTTTTTTTATACATTTTATATTTATATCAATAATATTTATGTACAGTTATTTTTCTAGTCATTTGCAAATATATGTCATACATTACAAATCAACTATAGTCATTTTATTGAAATTAGTGCATTTTTATATTAGGAAAATAAGAATCAAATCTATTACATTGAGCTCTCATTAAAATTGTTATGCAGATCTAAAATGTTTGTATTGAACATAGGACTTTCAAAAGTTTTTTTAAGAAAAAATTAATTATGTAAATATTTACTTGTATTATTAAATCATTTTCTTTCCATTTAATTCAGATGAAGACACATTCAGCCCTGATACATACAAGTTCTAAATTAATATTTTCTATATAAATGTTAAAACTAGCTTTCATATATCAAATGAAGTACAAACGTTTGCTGGCTAATAGTTTCTTAATCAAAATATGTCATATTTTTTTCAAAAATATAAGTGTAAAGTTAAATTATAAGAACAATTTAAAAAATGTACTGCAATCCCATTAGCCATGAAATTTAGACCAGTAAAAAAATGAAATGTTACTATACAGTTTCTGAATTATTATCAATCATAAACATATGTAATAGTTGATGATGCATTTATTTAAAGAAAAAAAATAGAGTATTTTAAAGTGTCGGGTTAAAATAACCTCTGCTTGAGATTATTTTGACCCAGTCATTTTATTTCACTGGTATTACATTGTACTTTATACATTAGACCAATGTGCCTCCTTCATATTAGTTATTTTAGCTCTTAGGTAAATGAATTTAAAGTGTAATTTTATCAAAAGATTTTACCATCAAAATAATCATTTCAACGATAGAAATAAAGCTGATTTTAATATTATAGCTCATTCATAAGTTATGGACAAAACTTTCAATTATCTAGGAAAATCAGGGTTCCTACACGGTCCTGACTTTTTAGCTTAATTTTAGAATAGCCTGCAAAAGTCAGGATATTCTAAAATTAAGCTAAAAAGTCAGGATTTTCCTTACATATTTATAAAGTCATGAAAAAGTCAGGATTTTTCTTACATATTCATCAAGTTATGAAAATAAAAGAAACTATAGTTCATTCGAAGACTGACAGGCAAAAATAAAGTTTCAAGGAAAAATTCTGTAATTCAAAATATGTAATTTCCTCATAATAACATTCCTCTTTCCTGGGTAGAACCTGTCCTGTTAGCAATTTTCCTCCTGTTTATCCAATGATAAGGAATTTTTGATAGGGTTGCTAGGTTTATTGCGATTTGTGTGAATAACTGATTTACAGACAACAGTAGCTGAAACAACAACAGAAAAAGCAAAAAAGGAATTTTAACTGTTTTGTGATGCTGCCAAAAAAAAAAAGAAGAGCGAAAGAATTTCTTCGAGTTTAATCCACAGCAAAAGAGATTAAATAATTTTTTTCGAAATATTTGCACGGAGAAAAAAAATTTGAAAATTTGTGGGAGGTTATGAAAATTGTTCTTATCCTCTCTCATGGTAACGCAACAGTCGAAGGGGGTTTTCAATCAATAAAAGCTTATTGGTTGAAAACCTCAATGAAGACTCTATTATTTCACAAAGGCGTGTGTATGATTATGTTTCATTTATAAATGGAATAAAAAATATAGACATTAATGAAAAAATGCTAGATGCTGTAAAAGGATCTAGAACAAGATGGAGACATGCATTAGAAGCCAAAAAAAAACGAAGAGAATAAAAAAGCTGAAATTTCTAGAAAACGAATAAAGGAAAAGAATTTAAAATTAAGAAAATCAAAATTGATGAAAACTGCTGCAACAGAACTGGATGTTCTTGATTCAGAAATTGTCAAACAACAGAATATGTTGAGAAATATTATATAACATAGGAGCCCCTGAGTTTCTCCGGAAGCTTACAGTATTACAGAAATAAATTTAAAAATGCTGAAAAAAAAGATATTTTTGATTTTATTTTCTCACAAGTTTGCATAATTTTTCTTTCTGAATTTTTATTTGTACATAATTAACTTTTCTTGACTTTTTTCCCTTTTATATTTCAATATTATCTTTTAAAAGANCTCACAAGTTGCATAATTTTTCTATCTGAATTTTTATTTGTATATAATTAACTTTTCTTGACTTTTTTCCCGTTTATATTTCAATATTATCTTTTAAAAGAAAAGTCAGTTTGAAGTGAATTGGTGATTTTTAAAAATTAATAACTTAATGCAACAAATGTTTTCGTATGTTTTAAGAGTAAAAATTATTTGAGGACACTGATATATATCTTGCAGATTTGATTAACCCTTTATATCCTGACAACACTCATACATTTGGTTCCACTTAACATTAAATAAAATAATATTTCCATAATCCAACAGATTTTCTTGATCTGAATCTAACTACAAAAACACACTAAAAGTGTAATCTAATCATGATAATTAAAAATATGTTTCACAAGTTTTCTGAAAATATAATTTGGGATATAAAGTGCTATTACGCAATTCCACTTTAATATATAAGTGTTTATCCTATTCAATCTATGATACTTATGACTAAGTAGCATATTATTACTAATTGAAACTGCAATGTTAAAAGTTTTGTTGGAGTGGGAAACGGCGGGTCAGGAATTTTATTGTAAAAGGTCAGGAAAAACCTGCAAAAGTCAGGATATTGTTTTCTCAAAATAGTGTAGGAACCCTGAAAATATTTTGCTTCAGTGTAGTTTTGAACCAAAGTTGCCCTGAAATTTAGATTTTCAACTACATTCGGAAGAAAACAAAAATACTTTTGAAACTAAGCAAACAGGGAGAAAATTAATTCTTACATTATTTTGACAAATATTTACTAATACTTTTTTTTTGTTGCTTTACTGTTGCAGAAAATTAAAATGTTGAAACATTATGCAATGTATTGTAACCTTATGAAATATTTCCTGTGTAGCTAGGTTTATAAAAATCTGAGTTTTATAAGAATGTGTTAAAGTTTCTATGTGCCTTAACATTATAATATATTTAATTAATGGTGTTTTTTTTTCTTTTTGAATGTTATTTTTTTTACATATTTTGAACCATAGATGGATATTTTAAATGAAAAATTTATATAAAGGTTTCTTTTTTCTATTAATTTTTTTTTTTTAATTCTAACAATCAATTGTATTTTGGCTGCATTATCTTCTACTTTTATTCTGCTTACTGTCTAGTTCACTATTGTAATTTTATTTGCTGTTTCATTTACTAAAATTTTATTTATCATTAAGTTAGTGTTTTTAAGTTAGTGTTATTTATATTTTTGATAACTTTTTGGAATTTGCTGCTATAATCAATTTTATTTTGTTTTTCTTTTATTAAGCTAGGGCATATTATTTTTACATTTGTATTGTTATTTTCATGCATAAATAAAGTTACCATTGGTTATTTTAAATTATAATTATACTTGGAATTTATATTTTAATAAGTTTAAAAAAAAATTATAAATCATATCCAAATAAATTTGGCAAATTTAAATCACTTTCAACTTTAAATACTTAATCTGTTTTATTGATTACTATTAAGTTTAACAAAAATACTTATTTTAAATACAAGCAATTAATTGTATTTTGGCAACATTATGTTCTTTTATTTTGTTTACTACTACAATTTTATAAACCATAACGTTAATTTTTTGAACTCAGTGGATTGAAAATTATAATATATTGTTTTTAAATTTGTGATATTGCTGAACCCTCCTGATAACTGTGTTATCAGGAGGGGCGAAACAGTCAATCTTGAATGCATTTGCCTGATCATTGTTATTAAATGATATATACAAAGTGATTATAAAATAACTTTGACATATGACACTCTGAAAAATTTTTTTAGACATTTTTATCATACTCCCTTCTGATTAGTGGTCAGAAAAAGTGGCAACACTTGGCATAATCTTAGCGCTTGCGCTAAAATTGTTGTTCCAACTCCAATTAAGGTTTTTCACAAGGATTACTTTTTGATCAAAAAAGAAGGCGTTGCAATTCGAAAATTTTTACATTTTTTTCACTGTAACTGCCAGAGCTACGCAATTGTTTTTAGTACCATTTTTGAATGCATAGATCACAATACTTTTGTACAAAATTTACTATTAAAATACTGTATTAAAGCAATCTATATAATATTTTAATAACTAGCGTTATATTAATACTATATTTTAGAGTAATAATTTGTCTAAAATTCCACAGATGTTTAAAAAAAAAACAGCATTGGCTCATTGAAATAAAATTCTTACAACCCAATCACTCTGCAGAGCCGTTCAAATATTGTGTAAGTACATTTGCGTTGATTTTGTACTTCCTCATTTCTCCTTATCAGCAAAAATAAGTTCATTACAAACTTACCCCTCCTATGCTTACCTAAGATTTTTTTTAATGCAAATGTTTCCAATAGTGATATTATTTATTTAGTATATTATTGCATTATAAATTTACTTATTAACCATTGCTCATATTCTCTCTCTCTCTTCAGCAAAAATCATAAATAACACTTCCCCATTCGTTGTTCATGTAATATTTGAGCAATAAGGTATAAAGGTATTAGTGAAATTGAATTATAGAAACGTTTTTTTTAAAGAAAATACTGATCATATTTAATACACACTTTGCTTATTAAAGATAAGTAAAAAATATTTTAGCAATTTTTTCCTATCATTATTTTACTTATAAATATTCATGGCAGCACAAATATTTCTGTTACACATCCAACCCTATCTCAGAATCTATTTATATTGAGATTTTTCCAATTTTCATTGTACATTTTTGCGGCCATAAAACGTACTTATAATTTTATATAGGGAATTTCTTATATATTGTTTGATTTTTATTCTTCATTTTATTTGTTGAATACTTAAGACTGTCGATAAATAAATTATTCTTTTAATTTATTCTGTCTTTTATGTTTTATTTGTATATAGCATTTTTTAAATAACAGAATTCAAGTGTAAATGCTCGTACAGAATAGTTAAACTCAATTTTTCCTTATAACCTCAGTAATAGAAACCTCTTTATTGATCTGCAACTCTTCGTACAAATTCTAACATTTATCTCCAGAGCGTGAAAATAAAGTTTATAGTTTGTGTGCTTTTTATTTGAAAATAGCTCAAATGCATGTTTAAGATAATGGGCATAAGTATTTGAGAAAATTTACATAGTATTATGGTTCTAAACTGATGGCTCCAAGTAAATCCGTTTATGAACTTAAACTGACAAATACATTTTTTTAAAAATTAATCTTTTTTAATTAATCTCTAATATAGATGAGAAACCATATAAAAAAACTTCCTTTAACAACATTTTTCCCATTGTTGGGGTCTGTCGGGGGTCATTTTGGTTTGGGATTTCAGACTGGATGCCCTTCCTGGCGCCATCTCGTTGATATAAAAGATGCACATGTTCATAATAATTCAACTGGTTAAAATCAATTGTAATATTTCAAATCTCTCGAATGCTAACTAATTTTCCTATTATATTTTCACATTATTATCATGAGTCTGAAAGTGAAATAGACTCGTGCTATTATTTATGTTTATTGTGTATACTGTACATACATTTAAAAAGCAACTTGTAAAATTGAAAGAAACACTATGCTATAATAACATTGAAAATGACGTGAAACAGGTACCATAGGTGTTAACGGACTTTCTTTAGCAAAATGTGTTAAAATTTAATGTTATTTCATTGAAAAAGGCTATTTTTGATCTTTCCCAATACCCCTTAATCAATTTGCGCTCGATTTCAAACTTTAAAATTTGATGATAAAAAGCAGTTTAAGGAGCAGAAATTTTATAAAAAAAATGTTAAATGGAAGACTATTCATGAAAATATGGTTATTTTCTAGATTTTTTGTTATTTTTGAGGTGAAAATCAAACCTTACGAAGCAAAGCTTCACTCTTAAATTTGTTTTGCACTAGAATTCAAAACCTTAAAATATGATGATAAAATGTAGTTTAAGGGGCATGTTTTTGTTTGTTTTTATTAAATTT